CTTGTGTTTTTTTTTAAGAAAAAAAGGAAGTGGATATCGGAAATTCAATATTCTTGGAAATTTTCAATAATATTGTTCATTTAATTATTTAATGTGTTAATGTATGGACGCAGTGAAAAATTGTTCATCTTCTTGAACTCCTTGTATTGTATTTCTTTTCAGATAACAATATTGAACCAAAAATCTCTAGGACTAACTGCTGCTGGACAAGTCGTCAATTTACTTTCTAATGACGTGAATCGATTCGATTTGGTAGTATTAGCAATCCACACCTTATGGGTTGTACCTATACAGGTAGTTATCGTCAGTTACTTCATGTGGCGCCAAATTGGAATTTCATTTTTGGCTGGAATTATTACTATGTTGGTTATTTGTCTACCGATTCAAGGTAAGAAAAATTCAACATTTTTTCAATTACTCTTTTGCTACTCAGCAGATATTACCTTCGTATACGACTAACCAACCAGCTCCAATTTTGATTTTTTTTTTAATATTTGTCTTATATCTGTTAAAAACTCTTACGCTTCTTTACGAACAACAACCCTCACGAGTCGGAACTCGATGACCTGATGCGACTCAGCACTTCAGGACCGTCAACAACAAGAAAAACAGATATCACTTACAATAAAAGTCAAAATACTTGAAAAACTGAGCAGAAATAGAAAATGGCGGAGACAAATTATTAAATCAATATCCAGCAACGAAGATTTTGGACAGTGGTGAATCTGAATTGGACATGTACGATGACGATCTTGACTTCAAAAACGATTGCAAAGGATGTAGTGAGAACTATTATAAAATTGAAAAGACTGAAGACTGGATCTTGTGTGAGTTGTGTTCAAACTGATTGTACGAAAACTGCACAGAATACCCTGATATATGCCATCCTTTTGGCCAAAAAAGAATATGCGTTCAAAAAAACATACACAGTACAAAAGGAGGCAAAGGTTCGGGTGGAAAGAACCATCACTTCCTCAATACTATGACCATGACTACTCGATACTCTGGAAGAGAAGGCCGGTGGAGTTTTTTTTTTAATTTTCAACATTTTGACAACTATCTCTTGATAATTCCGTTTTGATTGAAGTAAAGTAAAGAGAAATGAAGAGTTTTTGAAATTTTTTTGGTATTTTTCAATATCAATGAAATTGTAAAAAATCAATAAAAGAATGTGAGGCTATCTCTCGATAATCCTCACAATAATCCTCAAAGTAAATGCTCTGTTCTAACCTGAACTTACTTTTTTGTTGTCTACCAAATATGTTTTTCTATGACTATTGGGAGGAAAAATCAATTATTTTACCATTGTTTGCTTAGTGAGTAGTCGAAATAATTCATCACTCACACCTTCGAACCAGTTACAATTGACCAGATTCATAACTCACTACCGAGCACCGGTCACAGATGAGCAAATTCACAACTTCANGTTGTCTCTCATTTATTTTCAATCGTAAGTGTAAATCTTGAGGATTTCTTACTTCAGAATATGTTCTCAAATATCAAACCTAATCATTCAATTGACAGTTCGTTTCAAAATATTTTGTTTCTAATGAAAAATAATAACAGAAACATCACATGAGCACTTGTATTGGAATCATTTTGCTAACTGCTAACTATTTTTGAGGTCGCGCTTGAAATTTTATCAGTGAACGAAGTCCATGTCTTGATGAGTGAACTCACAAGCATTATATTTTTCTTATTTTCAGGTGTTATGAAAATGATATCAAGGAATTATTGGAGTATAGACAAATAAAAAATGATGTTTACAAAAAAGACTTCCAACAGTGTGGTAAGATTTTCCGTATGCATTTCTGAATACTTAATTTTGACAATTCCAAGATGTAGGGCATTCACCTGGGTTATTTATTACTGATTGAAATCTACAAGATTATCATATCATTGTCATATTAGGAGACTTGAAGCATGTCTATCACTGACGATTGTGATTTGAGAAAGCATTTCTTTACATTATCACATTGTTGTCTCTTTAAAAAACTTGAAGTATTTTCATCGGTGACAGGTGCAGAGTTAGCACTTTGTTTCCATGTTCTAAATCAGCAGTGAGAGTATTATGTTTTCAATGATGCTTTGCAAAATTTCAATACGTAGAGTGGCATTCATGTTAAGGATCCTGGGATCGAAAGTAAATATTTCTTGAATATAATTCTATACATTGGCAATTGTGAGGAAGGGATTGAGCGCAGTCAAAATATCAACAAAATAAAAAACCACAGCAAAGAATATTAGTTGAAAAAGATGAAATCGACAGAACTTTTGATGTTCGATGGGCTGAATATTTTGAGTTGAAAAAGTTGAGTTAATAAAAGAATTATGATCCTTAATGTTCAAGTAAGTATAATTTCATTATGAAATATAATGAGATAACAGCATTGTTGGTACATGTGTCAATGGATATATTACAATAATAATGCTAATAAGTGCCGATTTTATTGGAACTATTCGTTCCCCACCCTCAGGCTCATACAAGCTAATAAGCCTGATGTAGTCCTTCTTGACCACCAAACCAAAACGATATTTGTCGTGGAGTTTTCAGCTCCTGGCGAGACGAATATCGTCAGAAAAGAGGAGGAAAAACGGATAAAATATCGAGATTTTCTCTTCGAACTCCGTAGACTCTATCCAGATTTCATCATTTTTATATTTTTTTTACGGAAGTGGCCGCCATTGATTACCTACCTGCTGGTAAACGCCTAATGATTAGTTTGAAATAGAGGGAGTACAAAAATTATTTTCAATATATTACTCTGAAAAACTAGTTTCTTGGACGAAAGAAATGTACCTGAGCTTATCTATGGCCTTATTTATATCATAGATACCTGTTCTAGGTGTCTTAAATTAATTTCACAATATTGCCTTATCTACTAGTCTCGAATTGATTTTATAATGTATCCTTATGTAATAGTCAAGTAAATCTAATAATTGAAGTATTATAAGCTATATGAAATTCAAAATATTGTCTCATCTACTATTCTCAAATCAGTTTTTTACAATGTGTCCTCATGTAATAGTCAGGTGAATTTAATAAATAAAATGTTATTTTGAAAAGCTATGTAGTATACTATTAGGTATTGGTCCACCATCATGATATTATTATGTTTACTTATTTCTACACTCTCATAGGCATCTAGATGCCTGTTGTTGCTAACTTGTCTAACTAATCTTAATGAACTGAAGTCTATCTGTTTAAAATCTGTTTTTCCGTTAATCAGCTGTCGCCCCCATACGAACGACAACTCTCAGAAGTTGAGAAACTTGTGCGAGCTGAGGACTAACNTTACACAACGACTTTCACTTCTATGAATTTCAATGACCGGTTATGACGTTATTGATGTTTGAATTTCAGACTAGGAATTTTGTATCTCCGCCACTCTATGTCCGATTTTTCGAAATAAATATCAATTTTTAAGAGAAATGGAACAGTAACACCTTTTGTAATACACTTCAATCAACAACAACACTTATGTATTGCCAATTGGCAATACATAAGTGTTGATTTCGAAGGCATAAAAAGATAGCATCCTATTTTAGCCTAGTCATTATTTATCTAATACATGAAAAACCATTTGGACAAATATTCAAAATGTTCTACTTGAATTCCATGATAGTAAAACTGTCTATTTTCAAACTCATGCCTACCACGCCTACCAATCGACATGCCCGGGTATGTCTGATCCAACCAAACCCTTACAGCTCTGAGAAATGTAGAGGCGCACCATCTTGTTGAGAAACAACTGGATGGCCGCATTTTCTTGAATCCGTAGGTTAATGAGGTTTCGATGAATTTACAAATATGTAACACCGGTCAAATTTTCTTCGACATAACATGTGATATAAATAATATGATTACCAGTGTCACCTTCTCGAAAAACATTTGGGTTTATGTCTGGCCAATGTCGCACATTTTGGCGGTTGATATTCCCGTTCAAAAATTCATTCGTCACTGAAACAATTACAGTTTCAATTTGCAATCAAACGTTGGGACATCAACCCTCAAAACTGGATTCTTTAGTCAGGGTCATATTTATTTAAATAGTGAAGCCGGGGTGAGCGCATACTGAAATTCGCATATAACATGTATATCTATTCAAGAATTTGATGTATTTCTGCGAATGATTATGTCTATCCCTGAAATTACAATTTTAATCAGAGAAAAGCATTTATTTGATATTTGGTTCAGAAAACCAAAACCAGAAAATTAGGTATAATATAATTTAATAGGGGAGTATTCTGTTAATTGGAGAATTGAAACAGGTCAGAGATATTAACTAAAGTCTTCTACTATTTTGACGTAGATATTCAATATGAACGTTAGCATATGATTTCTCCAACACAACTCCATATTCACTTTTACAGGCAACAGAATTACACCCGACGTCGTTTTTTCTGTAGCTCAATACTTCAACATCCTCCAATTAGGTTTAGCCATTTTGTATCCGATGGCCATCAGTTTGGGAGCGGAATCTCTGATTTCAATAGATCGCCTGCAAGAGTTTCTAATTTTGGAGGAAAGACAATTGGCAGAAATTGAAGAGATTAGGGAGCATGGAATACAGTTTAGTGACGTATCTGCTTCCTGGACAGAAAATGAAAATACTTTGAAGAAAATTTCTCTCCAAATACCTCCGGGTACATTGTGTGCCATTGTTGGACCGGTTGGAGCAGGAAAGAGCTCTCTTCTACAGGTATGAATCTAGCATTCATATTGATATGTAATTTTACAATTATTCAATACTCTCAACTCAAGTATTTTGGCAAAAGACTGAAGCCTGACATTTCCAACCCTCATGTCTCTCTCGGTCTTGTTACTATCGAAATGTATATACCTTTCATTATTATGTTCTAACGAAAATCAGAATACTCAAAATCGATTCACTGCGATGTTATTAGCAATTATTTTCAAAAAATAATGATGTAAACGACACCACACAATATTCATTGTTTTTTCATATATCGTGAACCTATTTTAATGTAATATATAATTTTGAATGATAAAAGTGGAACAGATGGTTTTGCAAGGTAATTTTTCATGAAGCAAAGTTATTTTACGAAAGCATGTGACTATAAATACTATAATGCCACTCTGTGTAGAGTTATTGATAAAAAATTGGATAATTCAAAATATCTTCATAACTGGATTCTCCAAGTATCATCGTCATACATATATCACCAGTTGTTGCTTACAGTATCAAAATTCGGCTCGCGAAAAGTATCGGGATTGAAGTTCTACACTAACTGATTTTCCATCTCTTGAACCTCATTTTTCATACAATAATATCTTTCTACTTATCAATCTCCAAAATGGGGGTCAATACAATTAAAGTAATCAATCACTCCTAAAAATATAAAGCCTTCATTTCACTAGTTCGGACTTCCATTGTCTACCATATAAAATGATTTGAAATCCCTGAAACAACTAAAAAAGAATAATTAAAAATGAATAGCTGAAAATAACAATTATATTAAGCAAAATAAACCTGAAATGAAATAATAGTTGAAGTTTATTTCAGGGATTTCAAATCATTTTATATAGTAGACAATGGAAGTCCGAACTAGTGAAATTCATCATGAAACATTGTCAATCACATTCAAACATAACGCCTTCAATTCAAATAAGATTACTCTTGGCTGGGATTTAATCAAATAGGTGAATGAATGCCATTACGATGTCATCGATGACAGAAGTAGATAAAACTTATTCCTTGACATGAAAAATCGTACCTAATTCATGAATGAATTGTGTGTATTTTCTATAATGTTATCCAGATTGGTACTGAAGAGCCCTAAGGCAAGTGTCTTAGACGGAACATCGGTGTCTACCAGTGAGGATGACAGTGTTCCATGTAAGTGCAATTTGTTACCATTCATTTAAAGTAGAACTCCTGTGAATGACATCTGATTTTATTCCATAGCGAATGTTTGGAATACAAACTGAGAAGAGAAAAGTATCTTCTGTTTAATTCAGTGTTCATATAAAAGTATTTGTTTCGAAAGATACTGATATACAGAATGATCCAAGAGAAAGTATCCACATATCTTTGGAAAACTTAGTGAAATTTAATAGATTGATTTCAATTTCTGGAGAAAATGATCTTTTGGATATTTTCATTCATGTTCTAGCATGGCAGGGATTTGAAAGGGTCAAGTAAGATTTCATTTGGAAATAGCCAAAATACCATTAGTCATGATATCCTTCTACAATTATATCGATACCAGGTTCGAGAGCTGTGGTCACATAATTTTGAAATAAGGATAAGACCTCGTTAATCCCTAACACGCATGAGTTTCGACTTTTGAAGGGTGCGACAGTTGGTTACGTATAAAACAGATTTTGAACTGAATTATATAGTCGAATTGGTATGACCATAATTTAGATAAAAACTGAACGAATGTTATAATGTATTTCCGATTCGCATGATCAATATTCGAATATGAAAATCCAAAAATACTTGCAGCAGACTGCTCTTCCACTACTGTGTGTGGAGAAACAGTTTCGTCAACATCATCTTCAAGAGGAAGATCAACCTTCCTCTTCATGAATAACGATGAGATTGGAACCTTTGGTGTGAAAGTTGAATAACTTTTTTCGAGATCAATTGCCCTAACACCAAACTAATATTTTTGCAGGAGAAGCATCCTGAGAATGCTAACTTTGTTGGCGAAACGCGCGTCTAGTGCAAAAATATCAGTTTGGTGTTAGGTCAATTGATCTCGAAAAAACTTCCTCTTCATGAGGAAGATCAAACTAGGATTACTGATCGTTTGTTGATAGACACCCATCCCGAAAAAAAATGTAAATAATCTGTAGGTATTTTGTGCTTTTGGTTCGAAATCTCAACAATACTGGATCTGCTTATATTGTGACGAGCCAGCCGCAGCGCCACATCAGAAATGAAGCTGTAGAAGTCGCTGTTTTGGAACAAGTAGTTCAGGGGTCAGATGTTTCACGTGCATGTGTATTAGAGAATTTGAAAAAGTACAAATTCCATCCAGCCAAATTTAATTAATACAGGAACTGAGTGAAAATGATATATTGAATTGATGCTTCAGTATATTGAAACACTGAGCCATCGTTCAATTAAACATGATGTGGGGATGACTATACCACTGATCATTTGATAACAGAAATATTTCATAATGATCAAAACCACAGTGTGATAATGGAGTTATTAGGAATCGCGATAACTGAACTTGGATCAATAATTCCAAAATTATACGACTACTACTTTCAACATAGTTTTCGCATTAATTGAAGAAGTGAATTCCAACAAGTATCATTAGAAGAAAAACTGTGTGCCCTCTTCAAACGAAGTATTATTTAACTCTTCTTTCCATTGAATATTTGGGAGATGCAACCCACTCTTGCTAGTTGTTGAAGGTAATATGGTTGAGGGCACAAGAAAACTACTTTCCCTTCGAAATTGAAATCTATCTCTTCGAGCATGATTTTATTAAAATTTACTAAGACCTGAAAAGCTACACAGATAGTTTCTATTGGACCACTTTGTATACAGTATCATAAATAATAATTTATTGAAAAATATAATTCACATTGCTATCATTAGACCACTAGAGCTCTTATCAATATATTGGTGACATTAATTATATTTCAATTTTTGTTTCAGGTTTTGCTTGGTGAGTTACCTGTCAAATCAGGAAAAGTAGCTCTTGGTGGGGAAATATCTTATTCGTCGCAAAAACCATGGTTATTCCAATCCACAATAAGAAATAATATACTTTTCGGTCAACCCTATAACAAATTTTGGTATGAAAAAGTTATTGACGTTTGTGCTCTTCAAAAAGACTTGGAACAGTTTCCTCAAAGAGACAAAACAGTAGTGGGAGAAAGAGGTGTATCTTTGAGTGGAGGGCAGAGAGCGAGAATCAATCTCGCCAGAGCCATCTATCGACAAGCAGATATTTATCTTTTGGATGACCCTCTTTCAGCCGTCGATACCCATGTTGGGAGACATCTTTTTGATGAATGCATTCATAAACATTTGAAGGGCAGAACTAGAATAATAGTAACTCATCAGTTACAGTATCTGAAAAAGGCTAATTTGATAGTTGTTATTAACAATGTGAGTATTAGTTTACCTAATTTCAGATTTTGTGCAAATGAGGATGAAGTGAGAAAAAAAATAGTGATTTCAATTCGGATATTGGATATTTTTTCGTTTTGTGATGAATTACAGTATTGCAATGAGATAGGGTGTAATGAAAGAATAGTGTGATGTCACATAATAGTGAATACATTATTGGCCTGTTCATATCTCCAAGTTCAGTTATTAGGTATGTCATGATATTATGAGGAAAATTGAGTTCTCGTGATTGAACAATATATTTTTGGCTTATTTTTTATTAAGAATGAATTGGCACCGTGAACATTTTTATACCATGTATTTTACAACTAATTCCCTACTTCCTACATCACAATTCATGAAGGGTTGACCTGTCATTGAATATTTGGAAATTAACCAACAAACATACAAATTCTTCGAAACACAAAAATATTCATGGAAAAGAAAATTAGGAAGTTTTTGTTATTATTCATATTCATCTGGATGTCTTGTGGTGCATTACATGGACTAGAACATCTAACAAAACAAAATTATTTTGAAACATAGAATGTAGCGGAATATTAGAAGATGTGTTCAAATTATACTAATATACTAGTTTCAGAATCAATATGAAGTAGTTGATAATAGTATATTACGTACCAAGTACGATAAGAACCCTATTACCCACGAGTGAAAAATTGTAAGCACGAGGCGTTAACCGAGTGCGATAATTCGCGAGTGGACGTAATTGGCCTTATCTTTGAGGTGCGTACTATACTTTTTCTATGACTGACCGTAAAAAGAAATGGTACAATATATTTGTTTGGGATTATGACTTTGGATAATGAACTCATTGAGTCAGAACACAATCAAATGATTTAAAAATTGGTGACAATATTTCCTACAAATAACTTTATTAGGGTTAATTTCTGTTATAATTATGTACATTTATAGTAACATTATTACAATTATTTAATGACGATCTTATTCCGTTTTGTTGAGAATTTGAAACAGTGGGAATCCAAATGTTTTCAATACTATCTATGAGTACATTTCATGTATTTTTCATGGATGCTATAGAATTATCCACATAACTTTCCTCCACGGTCTGATTTTTTTAGCCACTAGGACGCTTTAATGCCATCAGATCACCCCCTCCATCAGCTATATAAGACATCCATTGACGTCACAACTGCTTGAAATTCTTCAGGCATCGCTGACAGAAGATGAACTATAACTTCTTGATCGTCCATTTTACCTCCAGCATTTTTCAAATCACGATACGTTCTCTCGAACTCGATCAAGAAATCACCAAGAGAGGTTTTTCCATCAAAATGCATGTTCCTCAACTTTTTCTGCAACTGAACTTGACTTGATATCCCTGACTTGACAAATGTAGATTTGAGGGAACATCACCCTAGCAGTGTCTTTGTCCATGATTGTTTCCAATATATTATCAGCAACACACTGAACTATAATATCACGAGCAATGGCGTCCTTTTTGCAGAAATCATCATAGTCTGGATCAATTTCTTCCGGAAATGTCTTCTCAATAGCATCTAGCACTAAATTCCAATGCAATGCTCGAGTAACCCGAAATTCCCAGTTTGCAAAATTGCCGGTGCCATCAAATGGTTTCACGCTTACTTGTTGAGCCACTGCCATTATTCACGCCTTCTTTCAGAATGAATACTCTAACTCTTCTTGATTCTAACACTTTTCCACTATTATTCTCCAATAAGTTACTGGGCCCATAACCTGTTGTAGCACAGCTAATTTAATAACGAAGCAACTTATTGTAATAGTTTAATAAGAAAAATGTAAAGCGAGTAGTCAACATAAACGACCATTAACAGAATACATGCACTTTGGACAAGGAGCGACTACAACTGCACTACTTATACATTTTTGACATCTATAACACAGAACATCTATAACACAGAAAAGATCATAAAGTTTGTGCAGAATTGTATTCATCACTTTTCCACTATTATTCTCCAATAAGTTACTGGGCCCATAACCTGTTGTAGCACAGCTAATTTAATAACGAAGCAACTTATTGTAATAGTTTATTAAGAAAAACGTAAAGCGAGTAGTCAACATAAACGACCATTAACAAAATACATGCACTTTGGACAAGGAGCGACTACAACTGCACTACTCATACATTTTTGACATCTATAACACAGAACATCTATAACACAGAAAAGATCATAAAGTTTGTGCAGAATTGTATTCAATTCAACAAATAGCGGAGTTGTGCCACCTTCGGGTCAACATACGGTGGTGTCTATGTGTGGCTTGAGCAAGGCCTTCGACTGTGTTTCTCACACAGTACTATTAGTCAAACTACAATTTCACGGTATACGTGGTACTGCATGAAAATTATTCGAATCGTACTTGAATGGTAGGAGACAAGCTGTTTTTATAAACAACAGCTATTCTGAAATCGAGAACATTCATTTTGAGGTACCTCAAGGTTCTATCCTTGGCCCACTTTCATTCATTGTCTATACCAATGACACATTTCATCACATGTGTCCAATCAAATGTATTTATTATGAATATGATTACTCCCTTTATGCTTCTGGCAAGAAATTTGATCACTTGGAAGAAACTTCACATCATTTTGTAAGAAAAGCTGAAACATGGTTCGTTTCTAATTGCTCGAAACTCAATAAAAACAAAACTAAGAATATTGTTTTTTCAACCAACAATACGATTGCCAACAATTCAGAAGTTAGACTACTTGGAATTGTTAAGGATGATGACAAATTAAAATGATCAGCGCATATTGAGCACCTAAGTAACAAATTAAACTCATCTCTCTTCATAATACGGAAACTGAGCAGATTTGCTAACCTGGCAGTTTTGAAAACAACCTACTTTGGCTTACTCCACCCTCACATTAATTACGGTGTAACTCTATGGGGAAACGCTGTAGACTCTGTGAGAATTTGCAGGCTCCAGAAACGAGCTTTACGAATAATATCTAAAGCCAATTATAGTGACAGTTGTCGCCCCATATTTGACAACTAGAAATACTAACCTTACCGTGTATTTACATCCTCAATTGTTTGCTGGATATTCATAGAAGAAAAGAAAAACTTGAAAAAAAATAATTCATATCACAATTATACCACAAGAAATTGTAACTTGATTCGACCAACTAGACGTCGTTTATTGATTTCTGAACGGGATACCTTAGAAGTGAATTCTGAATAATTGGAATTGAGGGAATATATTTTTTTGAAGATGATCTCTTGATGATCGAAACACGTGTCGAGGTGTTGAAATGACGGTTTGGTGTTGGGAAAAAAAGTCAGTAATATTTGAGAGTATTCATGTTTGTATTTGGTGCCGATTAGTTTATCGAATGCATTTAGGCCAGAGTCACACTATACGATTAAAGGATGGTGACGAAGTATAGAATGTGATTCTATGATCGCTGTCGCGTCTACAGGACGCTGCGGCATGACAGCAAGAAGTCAAAATCGGAGTGCATCATTGAAACTAACATTTTCAGGCTGCGTATATAGTGAAGCCGGGGTGAGCGCATACTGATATATGAGCTTTGATACTCTCACACTAGATTAGCCCTTGGACAGAATGGAAAGGCACTTGTTGACGCTATAAGCTTAGTCGCTAGTTGTTAAATATGAAAGCATTTGTTGAAGATGAAGGGATATTCGTCAGTAAAGCTTGGTTCTATAACGGTGAATAAGGCTACCAATGCAAACTCTGAGTTCATTCTATGCATGCCCTTATGAAACTTGTCCGACAGTTCTGTTGAAACATAGCGTGTGCCGAGGCTGAATTATTCCATCCCGTAATTCACGATACCATGTATTGTAAAAATAAGTATTATTTCTAATATAGTGGAAACAAACAATTGTTGTGCATCCCACGCCCATGTATGTGTCTAGGGTACGATTGTCGAATAGTCGGTGAGTACCTGCTGATACGTTAAGAAGGGCAGTGTAATGCCGAAATTACAATTAACAAGTTCTGTTAATTAATGTATGTGGGTGGTGAAGAGTCTACATATATTTCTAGTAGTGAAAATTGCAAACAACACTTCTGTGAAAAGCTGTCCAAGTTAGTATCTTTACAATTATTTTATCCTGATTCGCATTGATTGTGCTGTCCGCCGAATGCAGGGAAAAACAGTGTGAACTGGTTACTTCTAAACACCGGGCACAATTCCGGGAATTCTTCATTATCGCGAGTGCGTAACTGTAGACGATTTTAGGGCGTTAATTTTTGTAATATTCACTGTTGCATTCTCCTAATTATGGGAATGGTGTTTTCATTTAGGGTCATGACCTTTCGATTTTGCATGATAATAATTAGATTAAAGTAAAACAAACAGAGTAAGCCAACACTATTGTTTTTATTTGAATTACCAATCACCTACGAACCTTCAGTTAATAATTTTGTACCCTGAGATTAAGAGGCTTGGTGTAAGCGGTAGAATGTTCGACATAGATACATTGAGGTAAAGCCTGCATTTCATGATAAAGATACAAAAGAATGCAAGAGAAAATAGAGATGTATGCTTTCAAAAAACCTCCTAATTTTTTTCGGTGGATTGCCTTGGGAAAATGATTGCCGATGAATTGTTTTCTCAACTTGAGTTTGAGAATTGTTGATATAAATATAGGCCAATATACCAAGGTGCGGTTCTAGATAAGTATAACAATGTGGCTAGAATATTAATGTAAGTTTCTTTTCGTTTCCAGGGTCAAATCGAAGCACAAGGGACTTTTGAAGAACTTTCAAATAGTCAATTAGACTTCACAAAGTTATTAATAGCTGCTGATGAGTCTATTCGAAATGATAAAACAGATCCAGATGAAGAAATTGAAGATCTAGTTGCCAATGCAACAAATTTCAGAAAAGAATCAATTCTCTCCGTTACAAGTGTAAGAAATTATCTACGAGTAAATGAAAGTTTCCAATGATAATAATGATTGGACACTGACATTTCAAAACACTATACTGATAAGCAGAATAGTAACTTCAATGAAATCAGTTTATTTTAATAATGTTTCTTTCGTAATATTTTTGTTTTGCAGAGTATCTACTCCAATAATATGGATATAACTTATACGGCTCCAACTAATGAAGAGGAAACAACTTCCGATCCTAATGCTTCTCCGTTCTTCCAATATTTGAAAGCTACAAACAGCCTGTGTTTGGTATTCACACTCATATTCTTTCTATTTCTGGCTCAAGCTGCATCAACTGTAACAGATTACTTTGTAGCATTTTGGTAATAATCATGTACATTTGTTGTGATAATTCAATCGCCCCTCTCAACTTTCGAACGAGGCAAGATATCAGAGTCAATCAGAATATTTGTGCAAAGGAACCATTTGATAAAAAGACAATAGTGTGACATCACTTGCCGCTAGCAATGGACGCTATCAATTTTCTTTTTTCGAACGGAAATGGGAGTCTGTGACATTTCGTATGAAAGGTATTCCAAATTGGAATACTTTTGGAATTGGCATCATCAATCCTTTACACAACGACTTTCACTTCTATGAATTTCAATGACCGGTTATGACGTTATTGATGTTTGAATTTCAGACTAGGAATTTTGTATCTCCGCCACTCTATGTCCGATTTTTCGAAATAAATATCAATTTTTAAGAGAAATGGAACAGTAACACCTTTTGTAATACACTTCAATCAACAACAACACTTATGTATTGCCAATTGGCAATACATAAGTGTTGATTTCGAAGGCATAAAAAGATAGCATCCTATTTTAGCCTAGTCATTATTTATCTAATACATGAAAAACCATTTGGACAAATATTCAAAATGTTCTACTTGAATTCCATGATAGTAAAACTGTCTATTTTCAAACTCATGCCTACCACGCCTACCAATCGACATGCCCGGGTATGTCTGATCCAACCAAACCCTTACAGCTCTGAGAAATGTAGAGGCGCACCATCTTGTTGAGAAACAACTGGATGGCCGCATTTTCTTGAATCCGTAGGTTAATGAGGTTTCGATGAATTTACAAATATGTAACACCGGTCAAATTTTCTTCGACATAACATGTGATATAAATAATATGATTACCAGTGTCACCTTCTCGAAAAACATTTGGGTTTATGTCTGGCCAATGTCGCACATTTTGGCGGTTGATATTCCCGTTCAAAAATTCATTCGTCACTGAAACAATTACAGTTTCAATTTGCAATCAAACGTTGGGACATCAACCCTCAAAACTGGATTCTTTAGTCAGGGTCATATTTATTTAATTTCTTTGAAAGATTCCCACATTTTTGGTATCAAGCTGGAGAAACTTAATCTGTCCTATAAATATACCCTCTCAATTTAAAACAAGTTTCCTATGGATGGGATTTAATCGAATAAGCGAATGAATGACTTGGCTGGATTCAACTCATTCCGTGATGGAAAGTCGTAATTTTATGAACGAATTGAGTGTTTTTTTATAATGTTATCCGTATTTGGTACTAAAGAGCCGATAAGGCAAGTGTCCTACGGCGAAACATCGGATGTTTACCAGTGAGGATGCAGTGTTCCATGTAAATGAAATTTTAGTCCTTTCATTTATTATATTTTGTAGTAATCCTGTGAATGACATCTGATTCAATCCCATAACGAATGTTTGTAATACAGAATAGAGAAAACTGTTTTTCGTATAATTCAGCGATCATATAAAAGTATTTGTTTCGAAAGTATTTTTCTTTCGTGTAATTCAAAGTTTTTATGGAAAAAGCTTTCTCAAGAGGGCTTTTTCTTTCAGTTTGTGTCTGCTTTTTGTTTGTGCACTTGCTTACATATCTTCGTATAGAGTTGATTTTTGAAATTGATTGCTTCTTTCCTTTCTTTGAAAGATTCCCACATTTTTCGTTTCAAGATGGAGAAGTAGAAAGTCGAAACATTTTATTCTCATTTATTTCATGTAATATATTCTGTATATAGGGGCAAAACACATGTCCGATGAGGTATTTTTCGACGAAATATAAATCGATTTTATATCCCTGAAAGAATCTGTAAAAAATTGAAAAATGAAAAGATTAGCTGAAAAATAACAATTGAATTATTAATACGAGATGAAAAAATTGAATTATTAATAAGAAACGAAAATTAAAAAATATAAAATTAAAAGATTGCAAAACAAGCTAATCATTTTAATTTTTTTACAGATTCTTCCAGGGATTTCAAACCAATCAATTATATTAGACAATGGAAGTCCAAACTGATGAAATGTATACATAATGTTTAAAAAAATTCCTCCTACAAAGTAGTTTCAATCTACCAGAAAAAATAATATATTTTCTTCATTGAAAAACTAGGAAAACGATTGAAAATAAATCAACGCTCTGTCAATATTCTCGTTGAATATAATCTAATCAATAACCTAAACAATAACAGTTCGAAGGCTGCACGACGAACAAGGTAATTACAACTGTAGGGTTGAGCTCAAACAATATTACGGTGTATTTTTCAATGTGGGGAATGGGATTCTTCATATCTAGCTTAAGGGCTGCGCCTTTGAGCTTTCTCTGAGCTAGTTATGAAGAATTCCATCCTACACAGCGAAAAATATTCCGTAATATTGTTTGGCAAGCATACATATCCATGCAAAATAATTATCGCTGGATACTTATTGAAAAAAACTAACTTAACCTTAACTATTCTGACCCGACCTAACCTGTAAAATTGTAACGAAAAGTAACACGCATACACTCATTAGCCAATTGGCAGTGTAAATACAGTACAGAAAAATACTGAATTTATCAAATTTAATGTGTCTTTCTAACCTACTGAAAATGTATTTTCTTCAAATATTGTTATGTTTCCGCGTGAATTTACTCCCATTTCATATCATTCTAAAGCTTTCTTGGGAATTTCATCAAATTCTACATTTCACCAAAGTTTTCCCAGCCAATGCCCTGAGATATTTTCGGCAGATCGGAATATCAGAAAATCTTGCATTGAACACCTTCTCTGTCTCATGAAAATTATGGTCAGCGTTAGCGTGAATAAGGATCGTTTTTCTTTTTCCCTTTGAATATCTGGCCTGAACTAAGCTAACACTCTCTGTTACTAGGGTGAAACGGTGTGGATTCTTGTCTATATAGTTGATAACGCAAAAAACCAAAATCAGTTGAAAAACAGAAATGTGCTTTTTAGTCGAATACTTTGATTTAATTTTATTCTAAATACGAATCATTTCCGTGAGAAAGTTCTTTCTCCTACATATGACAAACGTTGGGGAACCTATGAGAAATAACTTTAGATGTGTTCACATGCTCTTTTGGTTGCAAAGTTACTAATTATCTTTTTTCTAGTATCCCATTCCATCACCAACTCCGCAAACGGGTAATCAAACTCAAAACAGTATAATTGTCGTTGTACGAGTACATATAATTGAAATATCTATCGCTTGAAAGGTCACAAGATCCCCTTCCTTTTAAATGAATGAAAGTTGATATAGCCATCTCTGCGGCCAGTGATGTCACACCATTTGCTATTTTAGTCCAAAAGTACTGAAAATGATTCCTTCTGTCCCCTTCAGACAGGGACTATTAACGTCCGCCTTGTGTTTCTGTGGACCAGTGAGATATTTACGGTGTCGTTATTAGTCCAAATATGATAGAAGGTACTAATAACTCAAAACTTCATTTCTGAAATATTTAGTCAACTATTTTGATACAATGACTACTTCTTGGAGACTTAACAACTGACATTCCCGTTTATATATTCAAGGACTCAATAATTCTGTTAAAGAACTTGTAAAAAACTTTTCATGTTAGTGATATCACATTCGTCCACGCAGTCAATGCAGATGTCTGCCTCGGTCACGGATGAAACGTTTGGTATAGAAGTTCCTTTCGACCACAGCCTGATGGATTGGATTTTGTTCTCTCTGTCGGTCTTTCTTAATGAAAACTCATTTTGAAAATCGAGGACAGGTTCTGTCCATGTAATTTTGATATTGTTTCTTCATGAAGAAATATTTCTATGTAAAAGAGAAAACAAATTGTTAATTCATATCAGTTCTTGGTTATTGTGATACATATTGTCCAATTATATTTCAAAAGAATGATTTCAATGAATGATGATCATAAATATGAAATCATTAAAAATGTTGAAGTTTTCAAGACATTTCCAAAAATATTTCTATTCAATTCTGACTGTTGTTTAAAGTGAAGTCCTAAATTACAGAAATAGGGATAAGTCAGTGAAATATTTATCGTATTATTATTTTCCAGGACCGAGCAAGAAAATGTCAGGTATTCAAATAACTCAATTATAGTCCAGACACAACTTGCATCGACAATAACGAAAGTTAACCATTTAGAAGATCGGGGCATGTCTCTTTACTATTACAATCATTCAAAAGAAATAAATCTATCAACAGAAAGACATATTTTCTCACAAGATGATCTCTTTGATAAAGTACAACTGAACGATACAATTTATAATCTCTTGAAAACAACGTATGCCATGTATTTGTATGGAGCTTTGGTTTTGGCAGCTATAATATTGACTATTACTAGATCATTATTGATGTACAAAGTATGCATGTTATCATCCAAAAACTTGCACGCAACCATGTTTCACGTTCTTTTGACAGCACCAATGAGATTTTTTGATGAAAATCCAAGTGGAAGAATTTTGAATAGATTTTCAAAAGATATGGGAGCAATTGATGAAATTCTACCCAGAGTTCTCATGGATGCTACACAGGTGAGACTTTAAAACCCTTATTGTACAGTGAATATTTCATTTCAAATTATGAAAAGACTGGCCCATTACTTGAAAATTAATAGCACTATCCATGATAATGAAAACATAATTTTCACAAACTTTTTTTTTCTAGACGCGTTTCGCTAACACCCTAGCTTCCTCGATAGAAATGAATATTACAAACTGGGGTACAATTTTTATATACTTACAACAATAGGTACCTTACTTAATTGGTTAGTAGTGAAAGCGATAACAGGTAGAATTTGTAAATTTATTACAGTTCTTGGATATCAGGTGAACTTTTGTAAACTTATTGGTATTATGGAAAAATATTCAACACTGGTGAGTAGTCGACACCATGTTGGTTGTTCAACAGGGAACCTGAAAGTTTCCCCTTATTCATATCCAGAGACTCATGCAGGTTCTGTCCCTTTACTTCTACATGAAATACGTCGTACACAGTGATCGTTCTCCAAAAGGTAGCACGCATAGTTCAAAACTTCTGTTCAGAGATTCTCGTTTTAAAATTAAAAAGTTCTTTCTACATACAACACATATTAGTTCCTCGACATCTGATCTGTTATCCTTGCCTATCTGTGCCAGTATTATACACACATCGGAAAAGTCTAGGGATATTTTTAAAAATGGCAATAATTTTTTTTTAGATCGATTTAGGGCAAAAAAGTTGACGGGTGATTCTTAAACGAATGTAACTTACAACAAAATTTATTAAATGGTCAAAAATACTGAGTGCGCATATAAGCAAAACTAAAAAAAATATGGCTCTTCTTTGGCACCCCTGTCGAGTGTACCAATTTAATCGAAATTAAACGACCTCTGCATTTATTTTTATGATATTTAGTATGTTATAAAAATATCCCTAGACTTTTCCGATGTGTGTATTTCATGTAAGGGTATACTTATTCAATAGCTTGTTTGAAACGCTTTTCATCAAGGATGTGATAAATTACATTTGTTTCATCAGATTATCTGTGGATATTGGTATGTTGATGAGTCTGTGGATCATACTATAGTAAGCTGCTAATTAATATTGCAGCGGGTAATTAAAATAGGTGTTTATAGTTGTGTCTGTACGAGTTGGTTCATTCTTATTTGTGAAATCGTATTTGTTGATAATTTTTGTTATGATGGGGTCTAAAAAGTTATTCGAGTTATTGGTTTCTAGTTCTATTGTGAATATAATATTTCCATGAATAGAGATGTATTGGAAAAATGACCCCCAAGGAGATTACGACTCATTCGTCGAGTCATGTGATTTTAGTTTCGAGTGGTTCTTGAAAATGGTTTCAAAACAGATGCCGGAACGTCGAACAAATGAAAATTACAGACTCGGTTCAACCTACACGACAGTATACCAAATTATTGTACACCAAGTTGAAAACGAGCAGCGTATCACATTGTTGGCATCGGAGGGTTTCGGTTTCGTTAATCAAGGTAACGTGAGTGCTAATTTATCGAGAACTGTTTCGGACTCTTGTGCTATTTGTCAAAAATTTCATCTGGTAATAATGTGCCCTGATTCACCTAGCAACAAGTAGTCTTGATACTCTTGATCATAGTAAGAAACCAAACTTTTCTGGACTTTCGTTTTTGAAAAACGGGGACAATGCTTTGTCTATACACTTGTGCCGTTTATCGTGTTGTGCATCTCGAACTAACTAATTCGTTGTCAACTGATGCTAAAATGTTGGCTTTGAGACATTTCGTTGCTCGCAGAGGTCGGCCTAAGATAATTTATAGTGACAAGGGTAGATGTTCAGTTGATCTAGAAAATGCTTTCAGAAAACTTGACTGTCTAAAAGTTTGGAACAGTGTTTGTCGCAGCGCATTACTTTTGTTTAAACCCTCCGACCGCCGCATGGTGGACTGGGTTTTGGAAACGTTTAATTGGTATTGTAAATACTCTTCTCCGAAAATTGTTGGGTCGGACTTTCCTGGACTATAAAGATTTGATAACTTTGGTTTGCGAGTGAGAAGCTGTATCGAATAGTAGACCGAATATTTATGTGTCCAAAGATCCAGCAAATCTAATTGCCTTCACTCCTGATATGTTTTTGAATGATCTTAGTAATGAGTATGGTATGCCTGATTGTGATCAAATACACAAAAGTCGCTCTGTCGTAAAATGAGACACAAACAGAAATTGAGAGATGATCTACGTCGTTTTAGTCGAAAATTGCATGAAGTGTCTTCCTTGGTGAGTTTGTCTGGTGGGTAACAGAAACACCTTGAGTGGTCAATGGGTCGAATCATCGAACTTTCACCTGGTGAAGATGGTGTTGTTCGGCTAGTTCGTGTGGAAACTAAGAATGGTCAAATTCTTCGACCAGTACAGAAGTTGTATCTATCGTTATGCTTGAATCCGGATGTTTCTGCGAAATCACGATCGAAACATGTTGCAGAAGAATCCCAGTCGCCATGTCTTCCAATTGAAGGAGATGATAGTGCGGGAATGAACTAAAAAAGCAGAGTATACGTTTATGATGGTGTTCCGCAAGTGCAAAGACTATTTTGAAGTATTTAATTTATTCAATAAAATGAAACTCCCCGAGGGATATGTCATAGCAAGTTTAGATGTTGTATCTTTGTTTAGTAATGTATATTTAGAGTCATGTTTAAGAGCCGTAGATAAAAGTTGGAACCGTATCAGCCAGAATTGCTCATTCAGAAGGAACATTTTTTTGAATCCATAAGTTTCTTATTTAACAATACATTTTTCACATTTGATAATCAATTTTACAAAAAAACCTTTGGTACTCCAATGGGTGCAAAAATAAGCCCAATTTTAGCTATGTATGTGATGGACGATTTACTAGACATTGTTTTTAAAGTTTCACCTTTCAAGTTACATTTCATAAAAAAATATATCGATGACTTAATTATTGCTTTACCACAATCTGGAATCACAGAAATACTGGAAATTTTCAACAGTTATGCAGTTAAAAACAATAAATTGAAAATATAAACTAACGGAGAAGGTTGAACATGTATAAGATTTTTTGGTTTTGACAAATGTCATACCTTCACATAAATGTCATTTTTCAATGGGTATGATGATTTCATAATCTTTGACTTCAAGAAAGAGTTATTTTTTTTTATTTCAATAAACCGCATCAACCCTTTGGGTCATTAGCGGTGGAGTTGATAAGAAAGGGTTATTGATTGATACAATTTTCATTATTATCATGTTTTTGATGTAGTTCCAGTAAGTTACTGTATATATTGCTGAGATTATCAATGTCAGTTTTCTTATTCATACAAACAGAAGACTTATTAATTTCAACCATTTCAAGAATATGGCGTTTAGAAATATTTTTTTCTATATGCAAAACTTTGATATTAGAATAATTTGGTTTATGTCCTATTTCTATAGAATGTTGTGCTAATGCGCATGATTTTTTATTAAGCTTTATATCACTTTTATGTGAAGTTATTCTATCATTAAGAGGAATGTTATAAATCATATTTGACTTTTTGATGGTATCAGTTTTATCTTTCAATTAAGTATTCAAATTCTTTATAGTTTTAATATTTTTTTGGCATATTTTGATATTTTGTTCATTATGAAATAGTTTTATGATATTTGAGAAGTTTTCTGGGATAAGAATTTTCGATCAATATGTCTCTAAGAAGTCTGAGATTTTTTTGCTTGAGGGAAGCAAAGCGGTAAAGTTGCCTGTATTTGTTCTGCATCAGGTACTCTTCTTCGTGTTAGATCTTCTCTAGGAATATGTATGGTTTTGTTTAATATATTGAATGTGAGATCTTGTTGTGTTTTGATTTTTTCCAACGAAACTGTTTTATGCTTTTCGCAATATGCACTTATATACCAGCATCCAAAACGGTTAGTTTCCTATTTATTCAAAGAATAATTTCATGTTGACTTGAAGATCATGGACAATGATCTTTAGGAAAATAAATCTCAATTCTCAACTCGTATTTCAGAAATTTACAGTTGATACTTCTATAATATTCATGGTTTGAGTTTTCTATCGATTCTATATAGCGTCTATATAGAGGGAATCGTCCATTTGTGGTTTAGGGATATGGGATCTGTCTAAATTCGTTTGGATAAGAATATCACTTCACATGAATAAGATTCAGAACTTTAAGCCATTAACATGAAAGTAAAATATTCTTATGATAAAAAAGAACGTTTTATAAAATGACAAAATTTATGTCTTTTCTCTCATCCACTATCTTCACGAATACTTCCTGAGTCAGATTAACTGTTCTGTTTCTTGTAATATGTTGAAAACGAAATAATCGAAGTTTATTTTCCATTTACAATTTCAGATAACAATGATTATATGTGGTATCGTTGTTAATGTTGGGTTATCCAATCCATACATAACTATAGCGATGGCAATAGTTGGAGCACTTTTCTGGCAAATACGTAAATGGTATATATCTTCGTCAAGAATTCTCAAACTAATAGAAGGAGCAAGTGAGTTGAAAATGGATATTTTGTTTTAGTGCAATTTTCCAATGATTTTTAATTTCAGCCAAATCGCCGGTATTTACTCATATTACTTCAACTTTGAATGGTATACCGACTATAAGAGCTTCGAAAGCGGAACAAGTTCTAATTGACGAGTTTGATGACCATCAAGTATGACACCTCTATATCTGATCATAAATATCTTATCATAATGCATATTCATTATTTAAATATTTTTCTTCATTCTGAAATGACTCAAATATTTCTACTATAATTTTTTCTTCCAAAATAACTCCTGAAGGCAGGAATAAAGTAGTAGGACAATATTTGTGGCTTTTACCTAATAAACACAACAATATGAAAATTTGCAGTTTTGAGAATATTGGCATCAAAATTGATTTTGGGCTCGTTTTCAATGCAATACTCTGAAAATAATTTTAGTTTCATTGGCACACCAATGGTGAGTTTGAAAAGCCTCATAACATTAATTTATTTTCCATTTGCAAGTATCTGTTACGATATCTGTTACAATGTGGTAACATTGCTTTACTATAAATCGTAACAGATATGAAGACGATTAAATGGGAAAAACGGTAACTTGCGTTAGGAGCAATGGTCCAGAAAAAATCATAGAGAGTTTTGCTTTTCTTTATTTATACTTTTCATTTATATTTTATTCTTTATTTTATTCTTCATTTATTTTTTACGAATAGAATTGTTATTGCCCAAAATATAGAAAAATTATGAAAAGTCTTACTGTATTCGAAATGTACTATAACGACCCAGCAATGAATCTTTGATCATCAATTTTTTTCTGAATACAAACCTATCTCCTTTATTAAAAATATTGATAGAATGGTGGGATCACAATTCAGTGGTATATCACAATTGATATCTTCATAGAATTCCTTTTCAAATAACTAGCATAATTCGTAAATAATATTTTCAAATGGATTCATTTAACTTGCACTGTTCGTTTGGGTCAAATTTAGTAATTGAAGTTTGACCCCCTTTCTGATGACTGATTAATCCGATATGTGGTACACACATTTAGTTTTGATGACAATACAATTTGATGAATTCTGTAACATTGTAAATCCAAGATGTTCGCAGCTACAAAATGGCGGATTACATATTTTTTCGCAACTATCTCAATATAAGTATCAAATGACAGGGCTTGACTAAAAGAATAGTAGTACACTTCAAAAAATTTGCAAATTCAAGATGGCCTTAGGTTCAAAAGGGCGGATTACATAAAATTTCACAATTACCCCAATATGTTGCGGTTCAATATTGACGTATCAAAAGGATTGGTAAACGGCGCTATCGGCTACATTGCAGAAATTGTTTGGCCTCAGTTTCGTCGGGTGTAACTATTTTGCAGGTCAGTGCATTGTTCTCAGTGGGCATTGCTCTCATAATCTTGTAGGACAGAAATTCTTGCAGGTCGGGTCTCCCACATATGAATCTCTACCAAATTATTCATTTTCGATAGAAAAAGTTTCCAACCCCCACATAAAAATTTCACAATTTTAAAAAAATTGAAAATACATGTTGCAGGTCGGCAGAAATTCTTGGAGGTCGGATCTCCCAGAGATAAATCTCGACCAGCTTAATAATTTTCGACTAAAAAAATCAATGCCTAGGTACCTTTTTGAGTATAAAAAGATTTCACATTTCTCATAAAATTGAAAATAAACCTTGCAAGTCGGCAGAAATTCTTGCAGGTCGGGTCTGCCAGACATGAATCTCGACCAGGTTAATCATTTTTGACAGAAAAAAATTCAACCCCCACCCTTTGAGTATGAAAAAATTTCACATTTCCCATAAAAGTGAAAATAAACCTTGAAGGTCGGATCTGCCAGATATGAATATCGACTACATTATTCATTTCCGACAGAAAAATTTCCAATCCCCACCCAAAAGTTTTACAATTCTCAAAAAATTGAAAATACAGTTTGCAGGTCAGCAGAAATTCTTGCAGGTCGGGTTTCCCGGACATGCAATGTCAAATTTCCCATACTCAAAGGATGGGGTTTGGAATTGTTTTTGTCGAAAATGATTGACCTGGTCGAGATTCATGTCTGGAGGACCCTACCCTCAAAATATATTTTTAATTTTTTGAGAATTGTGAACCTTTTGGGAAGGGTTGGAAAATGTTTCTGTTGAAAATGAATAATTTGGTCGAGATTAAAATCTGGCACACCCGATCTGCAAGACTTTCTGCCAACCTGCAAGGTTTATTTTCAATTTCATGTGATATGTGACACTTTTTCATGCTCAAAGGATGGGGGGTTGATTTTTTTTCGACGAAAAGATTAAGCTCGTCGAGATTCATGTCTGCGGGAACGAACCTGCAAGAATTCATTTTTTTGAGAATTGTGAAACTTTTGGGTGAGGATTGAAATTTTTTTTTTCGAAAATGAATAATCTGTTCATTCATACCTGGCAGACCCGACCTGCAAGATTTTCTGCCGAACTGCAAAGTTTATTATCAATGTTATGAGAAATATGAAATTTTTTCATACTCAAAGAGAGGTGCTTGACATTTTTTTTGTCAGAAATGATTGACCTGGTCGAAATTCATGTCTGGGATACCCTACCTGAGAATTGTAAAACTTTTGGTAGGGTGTTGGAAAAGTTTTCTGTTGAAAATGAATAATCTGGTCGACATTCAAATCTGGCAGACCCGACCTGAAAGACTTTCTGCCGACCTGTAAGGTTTATTTTCAATTTTATAAAGTATTTTTCGTCGAAAATGGGAGAGCCGACCTGAGTCAATATGTAAATACTACGCCCAACGATTTTATTATTTTTTCATCTGATCAATACCATACATTGCTGAAAAAAGTGGTGTGTGTAATAAAATGTAAACTGTATAATATATAATGAAGAAGTGAACATAGTGTGTTTTGAATGTTGAAAACCTCATCTCTGGTAGCTTTGCCTGTTTTGAAAGTTGGTCTAATGTTCTTTATAAGGTAGTTTCAGTATCTTATATCGATGGAGCTGAGTAAATTATTGTCAGAATATCAACATATGAGCTTCGTCCTATCTTTTCGTTGATATTATCGAGCAGGGGGTTTATAGCTATTGCAAAAAGAAGAACGCTCAGTGTAGAACCCCATTCTCTAGAACATATTTTTTGGATAAAAGATTTTTATTTTGAGTTTAAAATGTTCTATGTTCCAAAACATTTTGAATGAACTTATATTTCATTTCAAGTTCCACCTATCTAACTGTTCTAGAATTGAGTAGTGCCATATTGTATCGAAGGCTTTCTCGAGATCGAAAAATATGGCAGTAACGTGGGATTAGAGAAGCTATTCTGAGTGCTATTTTCAATCAAGAATGCTTGGTCAATAGTGAATCTACGATTTCGGAGTCCTACTTGTGCGTAGAATAAGAGTTTATTCAATTCAAGATACCCACGGAGTCTATAACTTACCATTCTCTCCAAGACTTTACTCAGACAGCTCGTGAGTGAAATAGGGCGATAGCTGTAATATTTTTCTGGTCATCACCATTTTCAAGAACTGGAATTATAATTGCCTCTCTTCATTTTGTGTGGCTACTTGCTGGTTTGCCATATTTTGGTTGTATAGATTAAGAATAATATACTTGGATTCTATTGAAAGTTGTTTCATACATGATTCCGTCAGGCGTCCAGGCGCAGATGCTTTGATATTCCTCATGGCTGATTCAAACTCGAGAAAAGTGAAAGAACTGTTATATCCTAGAGGTACTTCTTCGACAAAATATTTGTGTCTCTCTGTTGTTGTTTTTATTGTCTGTAGATCTGGACTCAGATTTGGGGTGATGCTTATTGCAGCAAAATGTTCTGCAATTCTTTCGTTAATTTCTTGGGGATCTTTGATGAGTTGACCATTAGCTTCGAGTACTTGAGTTTTTTTTACCCACGGTGCGAATATTATTCCATATCTCTGAAGTAGAAGTATCTGCAGTTAGGGAGGAAACATATTTTTCCCATGATCGTCTTTTACTCTCGCATATAGTGCGTCTTGCTTTGGCTCTAGCACATTTGAAAAATATCATGTTTTCTTGGTGGGGTGTTGTTTAAAAATGTTTAAGACATGATTTTTCTCAGCTTGAGGAAAGCTACCAGATAACGGAGGGATTGTTCTCTGGGCAGTATTCAGAATAGCTAATTTTTTCAACCGCGTCATATAGTCGAGGTTAACTTTCCTCAAGTTGTTCAATTCTGCTTTATATAGATCCCAGTTAGCTTTATTAAAAATCCACCGTTTTGAGGAAGATGATGGGACGGTTTTATTTGGACACTCTATACTTATAGGAAAATGATTCGTCATATCGTCACTAAGGCAGTACCATCTGAACAAAGAAGCAAGAGTTGATGAGCATGAGGCAAGGTCTATGGCTAATGAGTAGCGAGATCTAAGATCCAAAAAAGTTCCTTCACCACTATTCATAAGTATTGGATTCAGATCATCAATAAACTCTTCAACTTTCCTTCCTCTAATGTCAAATTTTTTAGATCCCCAAAGTGAATTATGGGCACTGAAGTCCCCCCACAATCAAGTAAAGTAATAAGAGTTGGTTGGCTATCATTCTAAGGTCATTAAAGTTCCAGTTATTGTTGGGTAGGTAGATATTACAGATTGTAAAGCTGAAAGGAAAGTTTATGTGTACGGCTACTACCTCAAGATCTGACTATATTTGGGATCTGTTACCAGGAATATTGTTTTGGATTGATATAGCAACTTCTCTGAAATTTGGTAATACATCTTTTTTTGTAGCTAACGTATCCTCTCATTTGAAAATCCTCTTAAGATTTGAGGTACGTTTCCTGCAAGCATATACAATATGGATTTCTTTTCACAATTATTTTGTTCAGCTCAGGGTAATGAAGTTTACATCCATTGCAGTTCCAGAAAATTTAATTTTCATTAAGGACCATGAGTGGTATTGATTTATTGGTTGAATATCATAACTTGTGCCCTGAGTAGTTACGTTACAAAAATATTTCAAGTTCTGCGGCGACTTTTTCTGTTCGTTCCTTTTCTTGATTGAGTGGAAGTGGATGTTCCACTAGCTTCAAATTCATCTTCCGGGCTCGGGGGTAACAAAATATCCGACCGCTTTCTTTTGGATTCAGAAGGCGGTGGTACATGGGTGGGTAGTATGAATGGGTTGTTTTGAATGTTTGGGATGAGGAGGATGAGGAAGGGGTTTGGAAGGAGTCATTTTGTTTGGTGTCATATGTGTCCTCAAAATATCTCTCATGATATCGTTGAGTTGGGGAAGTTGATTTATCAATAACTTGACTAATATTCACGGCAACAGTTTGTGCATAAGATACATTACCTTTTAATGTTCTCGGAGTAACTTTTTTATTAGCTACAAAATAGCGAATTCAGGGCAATTCTTCGAATTTGATAAATGATTTCCTTCGCAGTTCACGCATATAATAGGTTCTCCATATTCTCCTTCGTGTTATTTTTTCCACAAACGCAGGTTTTCTCTGTTTGGCATCGTGAGGATATCTATCCAAATCGTTGGCAGTTAAAGCATCTCATTGGGGCAGTGAAATACGGGCGAACTCCTAAATTGTAGAAATCTGCATGTATATTAGTGGGTAATTTCGTTGAGTTGAATTCCAAAATGTGATTTTTTGAATTAACTGTTGCATGTCTCTTCTTTTGTTTCAGACGGGTTACTTTGATAACGCCTTGGGATTTGAGTTCTTCTTCTATTTCTTCAATTGTGCAGTTGAGAATGTCTCTACAAAATACTTCGCCTTTGCCTGACTCTTGTGAAGTCGCCATTCTTCCTGACTCTTGTGAAGTCGCCATTCTTCCTTCTCATGATCAGGAACCGAGGGATAGGACCCGTCGTCTCCCGACTCATGTTAGGTGTTTCCCTTGTGTAGAGTTTTCCTTATTGATTTGTACGTCAGGATTCATTCTGTTCCCACTAGTAGCTAGGGAAATGTCTGGCAACCTCCTCAGAGCCCCGCATGTGGATGCAGGTTATCGTCACCAATTATTTCCATTCTTGACTGCGTCACGCTGCAGTCATTCATCCCATTAGCTATTACTTTGGGATTGCAAATTTTTTCAAGAGGTTTATTCCTCATCAAAAATGTGGAACACTTCACGATTTTGCATGTCATCCTTGGAAGTTATTATTGAATGTATTGTAGGTAAAATAACATAAAAATATTATAGGTCAGTATTATATAACCTACCATTCTACTTGCTGCATTTTTTGTGCATTCTAGTGAATATCAGAAAACAATGAAAAATGATGTAATGAGACCAACAATTATTTCATGAAAAAGTATAATCCGATTTCAGTTAAACATGATTGGCGAAAAGTGAAAAAACAAAACATTTGCGGAACGAATGAATACTTCTACACATATTATAGAAAGTGTAGGTATTTACGAAAAATTATAGTAAATATTTTTCGAGACGATTGCGTCCTCAAAGTTAAACAATGTTACTATGCTACATATGGCACACTTTTGTGGATTCCTGTCATATTACTTTTATATTTAATTTTCTGTAGGTATGGACTATTGAAAACGCTAGTTACGCATTAATGCAATTTAATACGTGGTTATCCAGAGCACCCCCATGAAATCATTGTCAACAGTGCCAATAGACAATAGGCAAAAGTAGGTCTCAAAATAGTTCAGAAAAACATAAAGAATGAGTGTGAGCTGATGGAATAGATCCGTTGGCAATATGTGCAGAAAGGCATAATACGATGTAATTCTAAAATACGGAGAAGTTAAAAATTTGATTAGCTAGTGGGCCCAAAAATTATTTCAAAATATACAGATTATTAATGAGATAATATATCAATCAAGTCAAAACTTGAAATGAAATTGGCCGATGCTAGATGAACATCCATAACGTTTTCAGATCACTTTTCATTGTGAGATTTTTTTTAAAACCCCACAGTATATAATATATCTATCAGATGTATATGAACACTGGAAAATTTGTTGGCAAGAATTCTTGAAGATTGTTTATGAAAAAAACACTGGCAAATTTGTTGGTAATCAATCTTCAGATGCAGATCATCAAAAAATAAGACTATGTTAGGCCTTATATTTTTATCTGTGTTGATTATTTTCGTTACTAGATAGTTAGTATATATTTCATACCGTAAGTGATTGAACCCATATATTATCAATAGTCAATTGTGTTTTTTCACTATTTTTGACTGAATCTTCTTTTTCATTTCAGGATGTTCACACTTCAGCATGGTTTATGACAATAGCATCCATAGACTTTTTTGGCTTGTGGTTAGATATTCTATGTTTGATTTTTATTGCATGCGTCACTTTCAGCTTCGTTGTAATGCAAAGTTGTGAGTATTCTTTGCATATACATTGTATTTATTGAAAATTAACAAATTCACCATGAACTGATATATCCGATATATTTGTCTGATATATCTGTTTTTCCGTTAATCAGCTGTCGCCCCCATACGAACGACAACTCTCAGAAGTTGAGAAACTTGTGCATGCTAAGGACTAACGGGGTCTTACCTTTTACCGTGTGATTCCTAACACGAACTACATGCATATTATTCATTGTTGTGGAAAATTAATGACGTATTCTCAAATTATCAACAAATTGTGAAGAGTTGCTTGTTAAAATGAACTGGACTAATTACCGAACACGTCAATATTAACCTTTTCGCTTTTCCATTATTCTGATTATTTCTATGGACAAATTGTTGAACAAAGTTCCTACGGAAAAAACATATTTTGATAATTTTGGTAATCAATAGATTTATCGAGATAGCCATTTGAAAATCGGCATTTGAACGGTCGAGTGCTTCTAACGTTTTCTTGAAAACAATATATTTTAGGAATCCAACAACAATTTTCTAATATTTTTCACTACTACCACATAACATCTACGGGAGTGTAAGGGAGCCTCATATTTTTATATTTGTTTTCTTGAAAATTTCGAAATCAAAGTCAAAATTTCGAGTTTAAAGTCGTATTCTCAAGTTTGAAATCGAAGTTTCGGGATTAAAATTGAAATTTCGAGTTTAGAGTCGTAATTTCGAGGGACGGCGATGACATCTACTCTTGAGAAGACGCTATCTATGGGATGAACAAAGAAGTTAATCTTCGAATATCAAAGGATAAACGAGGCTCCACAAGGCGGTCAGTTGCAAAGCAAAGCTTCGACATCAACCGCCAACAAGATTCGTCCTCAGACTTCCACTGCAGCTTTAACTGCAAGTTATAAACTGGAACCCAAACATATCTTATATATGATTCAATACCAGACAACGCTGTTTCGACCCGTCATAGGTCTCTTCAATGGTTATAAGCTGAACCACGAATGCATTACTGGACTCAACTGGTCTTGAAGGAAAAGCCTTAGCAATTGAGAGTGATGACATCTCCCTTGACGAAGAAGCTATCTATAGGATTGTTAAAGAACTCAATTTTCGAATATTAAAGATTGACGATACCAGTGCGATCAGTTCCAAGGTCAAGCGTCAACATCGACCGCCGATGAGATTCGTCCTCTGTTTTTCACTGCAGCTTCCACTGCAAATTCGTAGTACACTAGAGCCCAAACAAAACGAATTTATGATTTTACACGAGATAGAACTGTTTAGATCCGCCATAGGATCTATTAATGGGGCTAAGCTGAATCACAAATGTATGGGATCGATCCCATTGATGTTATTTTTGTAAGGATAAATATCATCGCCCTTACTCACTTAGGCTTGTTTTTTTTCATGATCTTAATTTTACAGATTCCGCTGTCAGTGGGAGTTTCGTAGGTTTAGCTGTAACCCAATCTCTGACACTATGCGGTATGTTACAATTTGGTATGAGACAAACAGCAGAAGTTGTCAATCAGCTCACTAGTGTTGAGAGAGTTCTTCAGTACACCAAAATAAAAAGTGAAAAGCCTTTCGAAACTCCAAAAGGTAGTAGCGTATCCCCTAAAATAGGAACTAACCGTCATTTCATATACATTATATACTAAAAATTTCTAAAATAAAATACAAAGCACTGATTGAGTGTATATTTCAAGAATAATAATTGAAGATGTAAAATATGTTATATGAATGAGTGTTAAATCATATATGTAGCATATGTAGTATGAAAATCATATTAATTTTTGAAATTTTCAGATAAAATGCCACCAAAAACTTGGCCAAGTATGGGAAAAATTGAGTTCCGTGATCTCTCTCTGAAATATGTGAATGAAGAACCACCAGTTTTAAAGAATTTAGAGTTTACCGTGCAACCAGGAGAAAAGGTATTATAAATAATCCTTACAAATCCAAATCATTTTTGTGGCTTTGGTATAACACACAAATCATGTTTCAAAAAAGACCAGGAATTGGTCGAAGGAACGCAAAATATATATTATTAATCCAAAAGTATTATACTGTTTTTCGAGTAGGTCCCTTTCAAATTGATACACTCAACCCAACGAATAACTCAATCTTCAAAACACTTTTTGAACGCATTTGTTTGAATCGACGTGGTGGTGATTTGATTTTTGTAAAAAAAATAATTTGGCCGGAGCCATATCAGGCTAATACGGTGGCTGTTCAATGGGGTTTGATGAGTTTTTGCTTAATAATTCGTTCACATTACCCTTGTGAGATGCAATATTCATTTTTTTTCACATATCTGGTATTCTCAGACGAATTCGCTCTGTCAAACACAACATAATACTTAGAAAATATTATTCATTTACTGTCTCACCTCCTGGCAAAGATTCTAAGTGCCAGTAAAGCAGTTATATGAAAAAACTGTCAATTTTGCCTTCACTTTTGATAGATTTTGACAAGCATTTTTCGGTTTCGGCTCAGTTAGAAGGCGAAATTTTGAAACCTGACTAGTTTGTATATTGAATGCATTAACTTATATCTCATCATCAGTTACAATGCCTTTCATTGTGGGGTTGGAATCGACTCGTTCTAACATGTCTCGAGCGAACTTTCCGTCATTGGTTTCTTCCAAAAAATGAGGTCTTTTGTAACTAGTCAAGCGGCAAAGCATTTCATGCCTTAAAATCGATTAAAAAAACTCAAATATCTCTTGTCTTATTTTTGTTATTAAAAAAAAGATTTGTTCTGTTTTTCTTGTCCTGTATTCATGTAATTGTTCTTTGTTTATTACTATGCACAAAATAATGATATAATCCCGAATATCATTGAATGAAAAAATGAAATTTCCAGAAGACCTACTTGTCTCATTTTTGTTATTAAAAAAAAGATTTGTTCTGTTTTTCTTGTCCTGTATTCATGTAATTGTTCTTTGTTTATTACTATGCACAAAATAATGTTACTTGGAAAGTTAATTGAATAAAACAAGAAATAGATTTAAGAGTGTATATTTTAAGTGGAAAAACAAAGAAATACTTTTAACAAAGTGAATTTTATTCTAAGTTGATGTGAATGAAGTATATTTGATTTGGACTTTAGTTTTTTATTTAGTCATTATAGTTTCATAAACTGATATATGTTAGATTTCCAAAAAACATTTGTACAAGTTCATTAACATAGTCACTATCATATGACACTACAACAATGTCTACATTTTTTCTTTCTTCAAACTTACTATCAGCAACACAAAAATAACGCTTCTTCACACCAACTGCATGCATTTGTAACTATATCTGTGCCTTACATTTTTCTGAGAGAACACCGGTAATTATACTTTGTTCTTGTCTTGGAAGGACATTTCATTTCAATGGCTGCATCTTTAATTATGCCATCAGTCGCAATCATTGGATAATCAGCACATATAAAAAGTCCACAGGAATTGATTTTGTTTTTCAAATTTGTTTCCTACTGTCTTCCGGACAGACAGTTCCAAATTTCTGCCTCTTTTCATGGCATCAGTGTCAGATACGTTTGCACACATCATGGTGGCTGTGACTGTCCCCTCTAGTGATAGAATGGCAAACACACTTTATGTGACTTTGTTATACCACCATATCTCATCTTATATATAATATGCTGCTCTTGTTTTGCTTCCTTGTTGCTTTTTCGATGGTATTGTTCACAGCTTCAGTGAATGTTTTCTTCATCACATTTAATACTTTGTCAACATATGCTTCGATTTCTGATAGTTTTTTCATTGAAAACAGTGTTGGGAAAGTGTTTTAATAGACTTTCCCACTGATACAAAAATGAAAGGAAACATTAACTATATTTGGGATTATATGTTGGCATGCCTATTTCAGTTCATGGCAACAATATGCCGACATATATATATCATTGAAAAACATAACAATTTTAACGTAAAGTTTTCCTACACAATAGATTGGAATAGTTGGTCGAACAGGTGCGGGAAAATCATCTCTTATATCAGCCTTATTTCGCCTGGCGCCAATAGAAGGATCAGTGCTCATTGATGATGTGGACACTAAAAATCTGGGATTCATAGATTTGAGACGATCTATTTCTATCATACCTCAAGAACCATCACTCTTTGCAGCAACTATGAGATACAATTTGGATCCTTTCAATGAGTTCGATGATGCCAAACTCTGGAAGGCACTAGAAGAAGTAAGTTCAGAAATTCAGGCCTGAATTATAAATGTCACGGAGTTTGTAATATATCTTCAAATATAACAATGGGATAACTTATATGAAATTATAATACAAAAACCTATACCTCATTAGGAAGTTTTGCAGAATGAATCAAAAGTACGCTCCTGTTAAATATATTCTAACTTCACCTAACCGGTGACTAAATACGTCAAATGTAGGACGAAAATGGGTGAGAAATACAGGAAAAGTATTGACTCTATTCAAAAACCTGTAAACAACTCGACTTATTTTTTCAAGTGACAAAATCAATCGAATTATCATATGCAGGATTATATTAAAAATGTCTTGCTGCAATATAAATCTAATAAATAGGTATGCGATCAACATTACACTGTTACAGTAACAGTTCAGTAACATAGATATCAATCAACTAAAGCACGTTCCTACAGACTGTCACGATTTATAATTTAATTTGTTCATCACTTGAAATTTTTTGGTAGTGCTTTCTATAGCTAGTCATGGGGAAATTGAGTCATTTTCGTATAACTTTTTTTCTGATTGATTCTGCCGTTATTTGATAAAGATCTATAATAATTTCATAAAAAAAATCTTACGATTTGATTTTCAAAAACTTTATTTCCGAACATATATCACATATATACGATATGTTTGTAGAGAATGACATACTATATACTCTAACGTTTATATACCTCACGTAATCGTAAGATAAGAGATAATCACATGAAGCACCTACTCAAGTTTCATATACCTAATATACTACATCCTCAAATTATCATTACCTAAAGCATATTATGTCACTTCTACATCAATAATACAATGTCGGTTTCTAAGAAAACAAGTTCAGTAATGGAAATCTATTGATATCCAATTAATCATTCAGTGAAATGTTTGAATTTTCAATTTTCCAATTTCCATTGCTTCCAAATAATTAAACTTCAAACCTTCAAAAGTAAAATTTCGAAATGTCTGTAATAGATATGATTTTCTTCTAAATGATGATTTGAATATGTTGAACTTTTTTTCTCGTTTATATAGCTCATATGATGTTCCTGGACGTGATTCCTAATGTTATGTCAGTTTGACCAATATGTACCAGCTTTTCTCTCCTCCTTCAATAGTGTAAAGCATCTGATTCATTCTATTTTACCAAAATTCTTCTTTGATATTGATGATTCATTTTATTTGGAAGCTGAAAAAATATGGATGGAAAAATCAAATGCAACAATAGCTGATAACAAGGGCTCTCAAAAATCTTGGGATCTTCCTTTATTGCAGATGTTATCTACAGAACTCATGGCTGCAGCTAACGACTCCCTTACAGATCGAGCTCGCCTCAAAGCTGTAACAACTAAGGAATCTGGCACCTGGCTCAACGGACTCGTTTAGGATGTTTGATTTGTGTTAATCATCAATGTCGGTGCGGTTTCGTTGTTGATGAAAATGGTACTCATGGCCTCAGTTGTGTAAATTTAGTGCAAGTCGCTTCTCCCGACATTAAGCAGTGAATGACATATTTAAACGAGCATTTTCAACAGCCAATATCTCTTCTGTGATTGAACCTTTTGGAATTAGCCGAGATGATGGAAAACTTCCTGATGGAAGGTCTCTCATTCCTTGGAGACATGGAAAACCTTTGGTTTGGGACTTCCCCTGTGTTGATAACTTGGCTCGCTCTCATCTCAATTCAACTTCGCAAACATCTGGTGGTGCCGCTGAATATGCTGAGAAAATGAAACAGCGGAAATACATTTGTCTGGAAGATCGATATATTTTCTATCCAATTGCCATTGAAACATTCGGTAGCTTTGGTTCCTTTGCTTCCGATTTTTTCAGAGATATAGGTCTCAATATGTACCTTAAGGTAATACATATGGAATTACTTCATAGTAACTCCAAAGTCCAAAATTGAACTCACTAATGAAACTGCACAAACAGAGTTATCTGATAAGACCAGAATCTATTTCTCAGCATATCTCCTGATGATAATATTACTTCAGTTATAGAATTATCAGACAGAAATCTAGTGAACCTAGCCATGAAAAAAGAAATCATTGACCTTCTGTTGTTATGTTTCAAACAGTATTATTTTCAATTCAACAACATTTATTCCTCTTCAAAAAATTCAATTAAGGGAAATTATGAAGTAGAAGCAGAGAATTCAAACCAGCATTGCCGATGTTTCACCAACCTAGTTAACGTCTTCAAGAGATGAAGTAGATTATTTCTTTGCTTCGCTGTAGTCGGATGAAAATTGAATATATTTCAAAAATTATGTTTCGATAACTAATTGATAGAAAACGAGCTACATTGTCAGGAATCAACATTTTTTATTTTTATGTTCAATATCATCAATATTTTTATTCATTTAGGTAGAGCTGAAAGACGCTATGGATACATTAGATTTTTCTGTGGCTGAAGGAGGAGCTAATTTCAGTTTAGGACAAAGGCAGTTGGTATGTTTGGCTAGAGCTACTTTGAGAAAAAACAAGATATTGATAATGGATGAAGCCACCGCAAACGTTGATCCAAGGTAATTGAGACAATTATCAATATATACTGATCAACTCATAATTCTGTATTTCCAAATAATACCTCGATAAATTAACTTCTATTTCAAAAAGTACTTCAGAAGTGATCCTTATGGAAACTAAACATTTTTTTTTAATTCCTGAGGAATAATATAATAATTGTTCAGTGTTTCGAAACCCGGAACTGAACTATGACAATTCATACATGCCCATACATAAGATAGCATATCGATAACCGAAAAAAAAAGATTTGAATTAGCTTCTCAGAACAAGTATCTATTGTATTTCATATGATCTTTTTTGAAGGCTAAGACTAGGGTCGTTGAAAAAAATTTCTGATCGATAGCTAAAAAAGCAAATCCAATAGATAATGCATTTGGTACATATTATCATTATCAGAATTGAAGAGGTTAGTGGATGAAAGGATTATGTAACATTTTCATATTTTTGTAGTGAAAGCATTTGTATACATAATGATCTCGGAAATGAATATTACTGGAGTTTTTCACACACGTTGTTTTAACACCTCGACACGTGTCAAGAGGAAGGTCAGTTTGCTGACCTGAAGATGATAACTTGGTATTCGCAACACGTGTCAAGGTATTGAAATAACGGTTTGAGATGGGAAAAACTACAGTTATATTCATCTCTACACCAAAGGTTCCAAACAGTGCATCACAAATTTCGGAAATAATTAAAAATCGAACTTCAAACTCATGTTTGTCAAATTAAAAAAATTGCATTATTTTTCATTTTTTCACGCTTCAATCATTATTATCATTATTGTAAACTGTGAACAATCATTACCATTTATAATAAGAATATTCTTACCATTGTTACTTTTCCTTGAATAGGACTGATGCCTTTATCCAAGAAGCTATACGAAAGAAATTTAAGGACTGCACTGTTCTCACTATAGCACACAGACTCAATACCATTATGGATTCTGATCGAGTGTTAACAATGAGTTTTGGAAGCATGGTGGAATTTGATCATCCATACAAGTTGTTACAAATTCCAGACGGATATTTCCACAAAATGGTACTGGAAACAGGGCCAGTGATGTATGCTCAACTCAGTGATATGGCACTGGATTCTTATAACAAAAAACATAACTAGTCAGTACCAATGAGATGAGCGGAATGAAGTCCATTTAAAGGCCAGCGAACGATGTCATGGAAGAAAATTAGCATATTGTTTGGAAAATGTTCAAGTGACATCTTATTTTATTTATCTCATGTGATAAAATTATAAAGGTGAAAAGTGATATGATTTCAACAACTGTCTTTGAATTCGCAATAAATATATGTAAATACCATTTTTTGTTGTCTATTGAAGCAGGCAATTATATAAACTCTGACTCCAAGCTCTGCTGTCATCAAGTACGTTATCGTACCACCTGATAAAATGAAATTTTCCGAATTATTATTTTCGTTTGCTTCAAAATGATATATTTATATAATCTTCATAGTTGACAATGAAATAGCTAGTAGTATAAATCAGGTGCATCCAGGGACACAACATATTTCAAAGAGAAAAAATAAAATAATCAGTGAATCAGGAAAACATCTATTTTTCAATCAGTGTAACCAGCGTAGTCGACTTCCTAATTTCAAACGGTTTCTAAAAACTCAATCACTCATTGGTCGCCGACTAGCTTATAGAGAGGAAGTGAGTTATTATTCGTGAGGAAAAAAGAGGGCCACGTGACTTGAAGCAATCAGTAGTTCATGTTGAATACCCAACCCACAAAATAAATCACGAAACAGTGAATTTGTATGGGTGAGCTGTTTGTTTAAAATCTGTTTTTTTCGTTAACCAGCAATAAATTTGACATTTTTTTGCTTTTCAATACAATTTTTACCGCTCCTTTACGCTTAACGCGCGTTTCCTCGTGTAACGCCATCTAGTAACAGTACCTATTTCCTCTCCGATAGTTGTCAAACTGTACAATAGATGGCGGTAAGCTTCAATGCGAAGTGAGAAGTTTTTAGTCTCCATTTTCGAAAGTATAGGCCCGCCCTCGAAAGCCATATTAATGATCGCTCAAAATGTTGAAGCCTTCCAATTATTTATATGGTGGTTTACAGCTTTCTCCATGATTTTTTATATCAGTGATAGCAAAGTAACTGGTCTATACTTATCAGGAAGAGTTTTCTTGCCCTTTTTGGGAATAGGCTTAACGCGAGCAATCTTCCGAAAAGAAGGAAAAACCCCTTTCTTGTAAGAGAGGTTGAAAAGACTGCAAAATATTGGTGCCAGTTCATTTGCACACTTTTAAAGTATGGTGACGGGCACTTCATCAGGACCAGCTGCCTTGTTAATATTGAGCTGTTTCAAAATTCGCCTGACTAGATGCTGTCGAAAAATAATTTCCGGCATTGTTGATTCTAGTGTGGGGCGTATGTATGAGGGCAGATGTCGTTAACGATTGTGTTAGTTTTGCAAATTGGCAGTTGTCATATTTTTTAGTTACTGTTTTTTTTGAGTTGAAATATAAATTACTAGCTGTTGCCCGCTCTTGTTAACGTGCAGCCGAAGCTACTGAACATAGAAGCTTGAAATATACAGGTATATTGTTTGTATAGCGTGAACAAGCATCAAGAAATGGAATCAGGGATTTCTAATACCAAGGGGGAAAATAGGGATTCAATACTTGTATTGAATTTCCTCAGTTTTGAAGTTGGAAACCTGAAGTTTTGGGTGATTGAAAAATATTGTAACTATTTGTTCAAAACGGTTTATCACGAAATTTAATGTGACAAACCAAATTCTAAGCGGGCGAAGCCGCGGGCAACAACAAATGCCATATAAACCAAATTCAAATAGGTGGTGTACCTTTATCAGCTTCCAGTATTTACTCTATAGTTACAAAAACATGCATGAAATCAATGAAATGAAATTATTCAGAGGCAATTCATTTCAACCCAGAATAAATGAATTAGAAATGTTAATATTCACATAAATTATTGTTTATAACTCTTGTAACATTAATTTCATTATCAAACTTTGTAAACACTTGATTAGTACTTCTTAGATCTATATTTCGGCAAAAATATAGTAATTTTCAACTTATCATAAACTACACCTTACGATTCATTCTCCACAAACTTTATTAAGGAAAACTCCATTTAAAAAATATAACATGACATGTTTCGCTAACACAGTAACTTTTCCGTAGTAAATTACGTACGTACATACATGATTACGTGAGATCCAATCGTAAGGTGTAATTTATGTTATGGATTTTCATCAAGTAACGGCTGAACCCATCAGAAAAGTAATTTTCAATTATCTATGATTTCGTGACCACAATACAATTATGTATTAATAAAAAAACTAGAGATATATCTCAGTCGTGGTTTTCACTTCAAATAAGATTGTGTCCAATTGGATTTAGCTTAAACGATCTCTTGTGGAAGCAATACAAGAATCGAAATGTACTGGACCTGACTACTGTTTGGTTCCGAACGTTTCCCACTATACTTTNTATGATATTGTCAGATCTGGTTTTAAGTCTTTCACATTCCAAACGCCACCCTTCGAACCAATGAGTCCGCGTAACTCATAAGTTCATGGATTGAATCTACAATGGATCTTGAAAGAACCTAAACATTTTGGTGCAAATCAAACTGTAAAAAAATATCGTCTACCATTAAAAAGAGTAAAGTTCCTACGCCATTCTCGATCACCAATCTCATACTGAACATCACGGTGACGTAGGGTGTACCACTTCTGAGCACGTTCCTGCTCTTTATCAACTCGTTTCCTAACATCCCTAAAAACTTCTATCAAAGCGAATGATCTCTCTTCGGGTGAAGACGTGTCTGTATTAGTCGAGTTTTTGGCTTCAAATATCGGTAGTGGATTGTGATCTAAGCCATTGAGAATCATTTCACGACCATAGTTTATGAAATATTTGGTCTGACCAGTACTTTCATTTCGAGACGTACTGATCGTACAAGAAACCTTGGGTAGCAGTACTACGCAAGTTCAAAGGTTATCTTCCACGAATGATAAAATCATGGTTTTCAAGGTACGGTGTTGGCGTTTACACGTATTTGCTTTTGGATGCCAATTTGGTGGTGGATAAATTTTACGTTGTATTAGCGTGCTAATTTTTTGACTTTTTTACCAGCTGTCTGCTTTCCATTTTCCGATAGAAGAATCTGTGACACTCCATAAACCAAGAACACAGGATCTTCTAGTAGGCGAATTTGTTTCAGCGTTGACCGTCCTCATTGGATACTTTTGAAGAACACACAGTATTTAGAAAAGTTATACTGTACGCTCAATTTATCCATCAATCCAGAAGTGGATTTTGGCAACATAGCAATAATATCGTAAGTCACGAACTCCCAAGGTCTTGTGATATTTGGACGGGTGGTTTTTGATCGTTTTTTGAGCTGCACACACCTGCCACCATCTTATATATTTGGCAACTTCCAGCTTTAGCTGTGGGCAATAGAATTTGTTACCTATTTTATTGAAGGTTCTGCAGATACCTACATGTCCGGTCGGGCTATCATGATAATCTTTCAAAATTTTCCTGCAATGAGACTTCGATACAACAAATTTCCAGTCATCGACAGCACTATCGAGACTAGAATACTGAATCTGAAATTATATTCTGGATCATTCTGGAATATCATGAGTCCTTGTTATCGGAAAAAAAGATTCATTTCCAGTGTAAAGTTCATCCAAAACAGGAACCAACTGATCTTGACAAGACGTCTGTCAGCACATTATACTTGTCTCGTCTATGGACCATATCGAAATCATATTGCATAGAACTGGCCGATACTTGATGACAATCTATGATAAAACAAATTAATACAGTTTATTGTATGATTTTCACTATAAAGGGTTTTGCAAAAACCGCAACTCGTTATAAAATAACTTTCTCAAGCGTACGCTTCACGAAGTTAACCGTGTCGCGGTCTTTGTAAACCCCTTTACAATGAAAATCATGCAATAAACTGTATTGATTAGTTTTTTAATAATCATGTTGTTGTAAACAAACGCACAAAAGTGCAAAATAATCAGTTATAACCGTAAATATATGGTATAAACTTTNATACATTGATCCCAGATATAATAATATTTCGAATGAGGCCGACCTTAATACAGAAAAATTACAAATTTTTATTCAAAATTATGTAAAGATTATGAACAAATGTATAGCTCATATCAGACAGAATATTTTGATGGAGATATTGGATTTTATTTCAAATGCATATAAGGGTGTGTGGGAGTAGTTTTTCTGCCCGGCAAATCATTTTGAGATACAGGTGTCATTCAGTACCTCTCATAGTACCTCTCATAGATGGTCATTAAATTTCATTGTAAAAGCATATAATGGTGCGTGGGGATTGTTTTCCTGCCCGACAAAATATTTCAACATATGGAACTCATTCTGTATGCCAAATTAAATTCATTCAAATAAAAAAACCCCTAGCAGTGAAAATTATAATATATGGGGTGGAGGAAAACGTTCTCCCCAAGAAAATATTTCAACATATGGGTGTTTCTCTGTGTGCTTGAATGAATATATTCGAATAAAAAAAATCAGCATCCACGAATTATTTGAAGGGGTTATGGATTTTTCTTTGAGGTCATTGAGTAAAGTCATTGCCGGCCACTAATTTGATCCCCATTTTAGGAGCCGCTGATTGTTGGGTCTCGTGCAACGCTTCGACAAACTAGAACTCGTGGCTGATTTCACACTGATCATCTCTTGATCAAATATTTTCAAGTTTAGGTAGGGACGCTAATCTCCGACGAAGTTGACAAGAATAAAATTTAGTTGACTTTGGAGTTTTTGGTCTGAATCTACTGAAAGGCTTGCAGGGCAACCTACCTGCGAGCCATCTGCAAATTTCCCGAACATGTGGGGCAATTTGCTGAAGTAATATTTAGGTGACCACACCTGTAACAAAGCTTGGTTGTTGGACTACGACAATTGCGTTCAATATGACCATTTTGATCACAATTTTGTGTTTGTGTCCCGAGGTACATCCCTATCACGGAACAGGTTTGAATGTAGGTAGAGGTCTTTTTTGATGGTCAGTGAAGTGTTTATACATTCCTCTCATCATTTAGAATTTCCACTAGCTGGCATAACCTAATTAGTTCAGGTACGGTTGTAACTTCTTGTGCCGTAAATTTTCAATCAAACCAACTCTTCCTAATCGGGTTTCCAACATCATAAGTTCCTGGAAGATTAACACTAATGCACTCTGGCATGACATAGAGTGACAGAGTGCCAGAGGAGTCAGTTGACTCCTTGCAAAATATTTGAATTCGTTGGAAGTCTCAGCTTTTCTGGTGTTCGATCACATTGGTATTAAGTCAAAAATCGTCAAAATGCTTCTAAATAAAATTTATTTAAACATCAATATCATCAATATCGTCCTCGGAATCCTTGCTTTCGGCCGGCACATACTCCGGCATCTGCAGGAACTTCTTGATAAAGTAGTCCCTCAAATGCCGCGGACTGATCTTGAATAGCAAGTGGTAAAACCAGTACCGGAGCGGTTCGTGTTTGTAAATCACGTCAGGGTACTTGTCCAAAAGTGTCCTCTCGAACACCCTGTACATCGGCTCGTCATCAATTTTGACGGGTTTCGGAGGCGGCGTCAGAAAAGACAGGTACATGTTGAAAGCCTTAAAGTAGTCACTGTAGAAGGAGTGCTGCTCTGGCGAGAAGGAATCGTGCATCTCCTGCACGTTTTGTAGCTGCCTAGCCATTATGTTGCTCTGAGTCGTGAACGAGCCGGGTATAAAGGTTAGGACGTCAACGCTGTACTTATTCATCTCAATCCTGAAGGCGTCGCTCCAGGCAGCTAGAGCCGATTTAGTGGCGCCGTACACCGATAGGCCGGGTAGGGTTGTTTGGGCACAGTGACTGGTGATTGTGATGACTCTTGCTGCAAACAAAAAAAGGTGATTTACGTCGAGGTGTAGTGTTTCAATAATAATAATACTAGTCCTTGTTTTCCTTTTTTACAATTATTAACTGTATATAAAATATGAATAATCAACAATAATTATGATACAGAAAAAACATCATTATCAAAATAGAAAGTTCATACCGATTAGTAAAATCGTCAAGGGAATAAAACAATATTCCTTGAGAATTTCATTCCTTAGTCAAACTTGATTTCAAATTCTTGGAAAAAAATTTGAAGATGAACATAGATGACGTCTTCATGAGGAAGATTTCATCACCACGTATTCAGGCTAGTACTTTAAGGACAGTTGAGTCTAATCATGCATTTGTGGTTCAGCTCAGCACCACTGACAAGATCTATGGCGGTTCGAAAAAGCGCCTGTCTTGTGTTGAATTATCAATGCGTTGTGTTTGGGTTCTAGTTTTCAACTAGTTGCCTTGCAGTGAAAGACAGATCGAATTTCGTCAGCGGTCGATGTCGAAGCCTGGCTTTGCAACTGAACTTTTGTCTAATGTCTAGTAAGGTTTTTATTTCTTACGACCGGTTTCAGTTTATTGAACCATTTTCAAATTAACTCACGCATTTTGACAAACAAATCCTTTAATATACTAATGATACAATGATTGGTACCTGCACTAGGTACCTGAAATAACAAAATGTTACCTGAATTATCAACAATTTATCTGAGATATATGATGGAATCGGCCGATACTTGATGAAAATCCATAACTAACGTATTCTAAAATCACTTTATTGGGTGATTTTCACTAGACAGTTTTACAAAAACGCAACACGTGTTTCGCCATACAATGGCTTCCTCGGTGTCTTAATCATTTGCGTTTTTGTAAAACTATCTATAGTCCGTTCATAATTTGTTGATAGCTCACTGCAAGTTTGACCCTCATTAGAGAACTGAAATACAGAGAGGACAGCTAATATGATATAATAACAAAAACCAAACTAAAACTGGCAGTTTAAGATGTTTTCGACTAACCCACCTTGTATCTGAAGAAATACAATACAGCTATAAAACTTTTAATCCGATTATGTAGGTATTTTGAGTGGAAATGAGTGACCAGTGTCGTAGAGTATATGATTAAAACATTAGTTNACGCACTGCACAAAATTCGCAAAATAAATATTAGAGACGTTAATTACTGCCGTAGACGCCGAAACACCAACGAGCCGTAAATTAAATGCGATTAAAAAATGTACTAAACCAAAAATTATTTTCGTTCGTAACAACTTCACCCTTTCAAGGCAAGTTTCGAATATAAACTGAAGCTTTATATTTAATGAATAAACACCTCAGGAACCTCCGCCTATGATTTTACGAGTTTTACGACCGTTTTATGACTTGGGCTCTCATTTTGTGCTATCGACAAATTATGAACGGAGTATAGTGAAAATCACACAATAATGTGTTTTTAGAATACGTTACTTTATCTGAGATACCAAAACAATAATTATTCAACTCCTATAACATATGACAATTACCGACTATTGATCCATAAACACTACTTGTGGATTGCTCCAATTATTAATGGATCCTAAAATAGTTGTCAAAATTCACAAATTCAAAAGGGATTTTATTTATTTCCAATGTTTCCAACAAATTCATCACCTTTCCTTTATTGCACTTACTGAAAATTTTCATGTTTTCTTTAATTGGAAATGAATAAATTGTATAGAAACCCCAATTTCAAAACCCTTAATGACCAACTAGAATTATGTAACTCTTCCCTTTTGAATTTATAAATTTTTGACAACTAGTTTGGGATCCATTGGTATTTGTAGCAATCCACAAGTAGTGTTTTTGGATCAATAGTCGGTAATTTTGATATGTTATAGGAATTGAATAATTATTTAGAATAATATTTCAGATGAAGTTTTGATAATTGATAACATTGTATATCAGTTTACTTGAAAATGGTTTAATAAACCAAAACCGGTCATAACAAACAAAATCTCAGTGAAAATTAGACAAAAGTTATTTCATTTATTCTATATTTAATATGAATTTTTACAAAATAAATAGGTCATCAATCGAAAAATTTTAATGTTAATATGGAACTTGCTGTGTCAAATGGTTTTTTTTGCAGTTTGATCTGAAAGGAATTTCTGTGCCTCATCGACATATCTCTTTAGAAAGCTAAACATCTTTTTCCCCAAAAAACTAATTTCTCCTCAAAATATTCACTTTTCAATTCAACTGATCTCAGATTTTTTTATGGTTTCTCAGATATTATTGGGGCAGCACTATCTAGTGATCTGGACGATATCTTGTACTTTTTATTGGATAATTTTAAAATCGTTTTGGTATCTTGTGTTGTTATCTTGAAGTTTTTCTCAAAATCGTCTTAATATTTACACAGGTTCATACATATCCAAAATGTATATTGCTGGTAAAGTCCTAGTCTGAGCTTTTCAAATTATTTCCTACAACTTGTTCTTTGGGAAATCCCAGATATAGTTCTTCTAATTATTCTCTTTTGAGAAATAAAACACTCCTTGTGACACACAACACCCAAAAACACTCCATATTTCAACCTAGATTACACTTGAGCAAAGTGAATATTTTGATGTTGGGTTCTGTGTGTATGGAATTTGAACAAGTTTCTCACAATGAGTTTTTCAACTCAAAGTACTATTTACGTGGCTACCTAGAAATTTTATAGAAATTTTTTCTAGTTACCACTCACTTCTAGATAAAGTTTTTGACAAGTTTTTGAGCTATAGAGAATCCGTTGGAAACCAGCTCTTCATACTTTCAAAAGTCTCATTAAAATAGATTTGTAATACTTTATCATTTTTTGACAGTCACTGAAGCATCATCTGTATATATTGTTGGTTAATATTAACCATAGATACATTCAAATCATTTATATATGGAAGGAAAACTACCAAATCCAACTCAGAATCTTGTGGTAACTTGTGGTAGAATATCTGCTATCAAAGATGTCTCGTTTTACATGGTTTTACATGGACTATGAAACAGATTTTTTTTCTAGATAGGCAATTAGTAGATTGAAATAAGGTGTTTTATTCCTTAAACTACTCCCTTTCAACCTAAGATTTTCAAATAGAGGCAAGGCAAAGTTTACCGATGTCGTGAAAAAATATGTCATCAAAAATTCGGAACATGTATCTTTCATAGCCATTTTCACTTGTTTTTGACCCCTGTATAAGATAACTTCACGAATCATCCATTTATGAAACAGTAGTTTGTGTTTTGAAGTAGGTTCATTCGGATCATGACTTCAGTAGGGTACTAGAAAAGTTCGTGAACTACTCCTGAACTCATGTGCACAAGATTTGAATCTTGAACTTATCCAGAATTATTATCTATGTCAAAAAACTCGAATGCAAGCAATCTTGGAACCACACGTCCTCAACAGAAAATCACCTTCATCGGAGCCCTAACTTCAAAATAGGAATTAACAATCTTGTTTAAGTTAAAAGGGATATATTTTTAGGAGAGATTGGTAAAGAACGGTTTTGACTATCTTATTCTCCAGCTTTATACCAAAAAATGTGGGTATCTTCCAAAGAAAGGAGGAAATCAATTGATTTCAAAAAAGAACTCTTTACAAATATGAGTAGATCATGTAAAAAAGTGACTCGCAGACTCAAACTGAAAGAAAAAAGCCTTTCCAAAGGAGTACTCTCATGTAAACATTGAATTATACGAATACAAAAATGATTAGGAACAACTATTTTCATATGAATACTGAATTATATAAAAAACAGTTTTGTCTTTTGAGTTCGTACTCCAAACATTCGTTGTGAAATTGAATCAGATGTACAAAGGATTGCTACACAATATAGTATATGAAAGAGGTAACGTTTCACTTACATACAACACTGTCATCCTCAATGGCGGATATTTGATGTTTTAGAATAAGACACTTGCCTTATTGCCTCTTCAGCACCAATCTGGATAACTTTACAAGACCTAGCACTCAATTCCATAACAAATGTTTGAAGTACAAAATGAATTGGAAAAACAGTTTCTTTATATAATTCAAGTGGTTGTTTCGAAAGAATTTTTGTTTCGTTTAATTCGAAGCTTTTATAAAGATGAAGAAATAGAACGCCAAAACTTTTTTTTCAGGGATTAACACAAATACACCTTCTTAATGTATTTTGTTGTATACAACCTTCCACAATCGGTAAAATAATAAATCTGTAATGATGATAATCTGAAAACTTGAAGTTCACCCCAAAAAGCTACTGCTTAATATAAACCAATGAAGAGTACTTTTGGTCAGTAATTTTGCCTACAAACTGAAAAAATTGATTGAAAAAAGTTAAATATTTATACTTAGCTTTCTTTAGTGTTCAACGTTTCGGAAAATAAAATGTTTTCGTTTTCAAAACCTAAAATTCACTTTAAAACTTTCGCCCCGAATTCTGAATAGTTTCAATTCTTTTGACATATGAAAAGTATTGTTTTCTGAAATGTCGACCACTAAAGAAAGCTAAGTATAAATATCTATTTCTTTTCAATTGATTTTTTAACATAATGTTTAAGGCTTTCGAGGCCGTGGTTTTCAGGGTCACTATTTTTCAGATTTGAAAGTCGTCGATTTTTGAAATTCCTTACTGACGTTTCGCTGGCTTCTTCTTCGCTAGCTTCTTCAGAGATTCATACATCCTGAGTTTATCTCCCATGACTGGACATTACGGCTGCGTAAAGCGTATTTATGTTGATTCAGGTAGTTTGATGTGCTAATACATGTAACTAGATTTGGTAAATTGCGTAAAGCGTGTTTATGTTGCCTCAGGTAGTCTGATGTGATAATACCTGGACCTGGATTATGTAAATTGACAATAACATTCGTCGACCCTTTACTATCTGGGACATGCTCTTTGCTATTCTTGAACTTCTTAGAATGGGATTCCTTATTCGGTTGAGGTTCACAGCTTCTTCTTTTCTGTTGAAATTATCTCGTACCAGTCTGCTATGGTATCCCTGGGTGGAGGCAATGAGTTTGGTGTTTTCAAACAGAATCCTGTGTTTTCAAACAGAATCCTGTGGTTTCCTTCACTGAGAGCGTGTTGTGTTTCCCCAAGAGTTTTCCCCACTTAAAAAACGGTATTCAAACCCATCAAGAAGATACAACAAATCCTCAGGTCGACTGGATACAAAATACACCCACTGTCAGCAGCAGGGGAATATCGCATTCCCTGCACTTGTGGGCAGGTATACATCGGAACCATCAAAAGATCCATGGGAACTAGGCTGAAAGGACATGAAAGAAACTACAGACTAGGTCAAACGGACAAGTCAGTTGTGGCACTTAGTGAAGGAAACCACAGGATTCTGTTTGAAAACACGAAACTCATTGCCCCCAACCAGGGATACCATAGCCGACTGCTACGGGAGGCAATAGAGATCCACAAAAACACGGATAATTCAACAGAAAAAAAGAAGCTGTGAACCTCAACTGAATATGGAATCCCATTCTGAGGAGTTCAAGAATGACAAACAGCATGCCGGCAGGTAGCAAAGGGTCGACGAATATAATTAATAATTTAACTAATTTAGGTACATATATTGTCACACCAAACTAACCTGAGTTAACATAAATACGCTTTATGCAGCCGTAATATCCAGTCATCAGAGATAAACCCAGAATATATAATCATCTGAAGAAGCTAGCCACTCGCGCCTGCGAAACGTCAGGAAAAAAACCCAAATATCGACGGCCTCAAACCCGAAAAATTTATAAATACGACAAGTTACTGACTAATTGGACTCTTCAGTGGTTTATATTGAGCAGTAACTTTTCGGAGTTGAACTTTTCAGTTTGCCCTTTATTATACCTCAGCAGATTCTCTATTGAATAGTTCTGTTCATTTTTAGATTGTGAAAGGTTAGGTATATACCAAAAAACAGTAAGAAGTATTGAGTCCTCCACAAAAAAATGTCTAAATTGAGCATGCGCCAAAAAGTAATTCAAAAACCGTACTTTCTCAAAAGGAAGAACTGAATTTGATAGTTCAAGAATTATTATATGTTATGAGTATTCAAAAAACCCGAACACAAATCAGAGTAGTTCCAGAACAGTTCTATGAAACCCTAACGCATCTAATTCAACTGTGCATATTTTTGTGAAATGTGATTCCTTCGAAAAAACTTCTGCAGATTACCAATTGGTTGGGTATCATCGTCACATAAAAATCATATTCAATAAAGCCCTGACTTGAAATTATTCATATTCACTCTGAACATTCGTCACCAGTACTCATATTTTATTCAAGACATCCATGATTGTATGTCTGGTAAATTAGCTTTAAGCATTGTATTATATTATTATCAGTCTATTTTCTTGATAGATATGGTATTTTATAAGAAATGCTGAAGATCAAGTATTTCAAATCAAGACTAATTACCCATCACATGACTATCCACCTATTGTCATCTTACTTCAACGCATCAAAAGGGCAAGTTTCACAAAATTCATAGACCAAATAACATTATTTACTACAATACCTTTTTTTAAAGAACCCTTGACCAATATTTGTTTGACTATAAGTTGAACCATCTCCTGTGAACATTTTCAAAACACTAATATTTCTTTTAGAATTAATATTCGGGTCACGTTAGTTTTTGAAAAATTTTAATTAGACTTACGTATTTTTATTCGCTGATCGCGAATCTAAAGCCAAAAATTTGAGCACTGATATAATTTTGAAGATACGACTACCCAAAAACCAAAAAATTTATTACAGCAGAAATCCACTTTCTATAATACACACTTGTAAAATAACACTTATCCATGGTGGCATTTTACGGACCTTCATTCATTTAGCACATCCGTTTTTTATACATAAATGTTTAATTTTCTCAAAATTGCATTTTTGATATAAAAAACAATTCTTTATGAAACTAGTGACTTATTCGTTAGTTAAAATATCAAACTTGAAGTGGGTGCGATGTTGTCGAATTTATCGAATAGATTAGGAATGCCTTCAACAATTGACACCATGTTATTTGTGTAATATTTCATTCAAAATATGACTGAATTAACAAGTTATATTCATTTCATGGAATGAACAAATAAGTACATTTTTCTAAGGTGAAGCTAAGTGAAATTTTCGAAATTTGTCTGTATAATTTTCAAACTGAAGAAGCAGATTCATTCTACGCGAGGTTCCAGTTCTACCTTCTATAATTTTCAAATAATAACAAAAATTCTAGTGGCACAATGCTATCATTTAAAATGTGAATCCAAAAAGCATGTTATTCTGTGGAAGTCAGTTTCTGACTTGTGGTATCAAAACTTTTGAGTGGCTCTATCTCTGAAAATGTTCCAAAGCCCCAGGTTTTGATGACAGATTCGTAATCAGCGAACTAAGATACATATGACTAATATTCACCTCTAAACTATTTTCACTGCAAACAAATAGACTGTCGATCTGGGAATATTTCATACAAGTCCGAGACTCTCATCAAAATCTTGCTCACCTTTATAACGCCTGAGAAGAGGACACAGTGCATTAGTGAATTTGAAAGTGCCCATGAGATTCACGTCGAGTTGTTGTTGAATGAGTTTTTCTGTTAACCATTCAAACTCTCCAAACACCATCACACCTGCATTATTTATCACTGCATGCAGAGCTGAAAGCACATATATCAAGGATTGTGAAATTCATTAGAAGTAAAAAAATTTTGTTTCAAAAGAAGATATAGTAAGTTTATTTTAAATGGGCAAGCCTTATATGCAATAGAATATAGGTAACTTTTAAATTAAAAGCAATATAGTTTCAAACTTTTCACATAAACAACAAAATATCAAATAAAATAAAATGATCTAGATTTGTTTCAACAAAAATTTTGAATATTTAAAAATTATAAAATGTAAAACTGAAAACTCTGACGTAG